ACATATACCATTGAAGGGGTGCTGGCCAAGGTTCAAGGTTTCCTTGGTCTCCGACCCTTGATGAACCGTTGTGCATAGCATTTTGGACCGGAAGTAGACAATGACCGCCATTAAAGCAATGACAATAGTGACAGTAGGCCTCTTTGGGGGTCTACTATCGGCTTCCCCTTCCCCATCAATGCCGCAAATGCCAACAGTTGACTTGGGATACTCTCAGTATCGAGGAATCTCACTTTCCAACGGTGTTGACCAATTTCTCGGAATGAGATACGCAAAGGCACCCTTGGGTGACTTGCGATTTCGAGGTCCCGAGGATCCAGAAGATACTGAGGGGGTTTTGGAAGCCACATCGGTAAGACTGCTATCTACACTAGCTTCAGTGCATTGAACTGACTTGGATAGTTTGGACCCCTTTGTGTGGGGGTTGGAGAGTCAACAAATGATTCCTTGGCAGAAGACTGTTTACTTATCAATGTCTGGCGGCCAACGAATGTGAGTGCGGATTCCAACCTCCCTATCTGGCTGTTTATTCAAGGGGGTGGATATGCCAACAATGCGAATGGCAACTATAACGGCAGCGAGGTCGTTCAGCAGTCTGGTCAAAACATTATCTTTGTCAATTTCAATTACCGCGTCGGTGTCCTTGGATTCCTTGCCAGTGAGCACGTGAGGCAAAATGGACATCTCAATGCTGGACTGCTCGATCAGCGGAAGGCACTCCATTGGGTTCAAAAACACATTCGCAAATTTGGAGGCAATCCGGACCATGTTGTCATTCACGGCGACTCCTCTGGTGCAGGCTCAGTCGCCTATCATCTCACCGCGTATGGTGAGCGCAATACAGATCTTTTCATCGGGGCAGTAGCAGAGTCGCCATTCTGGCCTACTCAACGAACAGTTGCACAGATGGAGTTCCAGTACGACCAATTCGTGAAAGATACCAGCTGTTACAAAGCAAATGACTCCTTGACGTGTTTGCGTTCTGTGGATATCAGAACGATCCAAAAGTTCAACGTCGATAAGCCATTCCCAGGGGGCAGTCCCACGCCAGTCCCCCGGTGGTATTTTCTTCCTGTTGTTGATGGAGACTTGATCCAGGATCAACTTTCCAATCTTTTCAGTCAAGGGAAGTTTGTTCAAGTGCCTTTATTAGTCGGAGATGAGACAAATGAGGGCACAGACTTTGCATACAATGCAACCAACAAGTTTGAAGTGGCCCAGTTTATGAAGAACAATTATCCCGGACTCTCTCATGACCAACTCGACACTATCAATAATGCATACGAACATGAGGAACCTCTTCCTAAGCACGCGGCTTATTTCGCATCGGCTGCGGGCGCTTATGGAGATTCGACTTTCACTTGCCCAGGGAACTTTATGACTGCGGCGATGGCGAAATCATCTTATTTCGCCTGGAATTATAGATACAATGTTCGTGACCCCACAAAGATTGCAAATGGGATGGGTGTTTCTCACATATTTGATTTGCCCGCGATTTTTGGTATAGGGGAAACCAATCAGCCAACCTATTCATATGCCAGCTCTAACGCAAAAATCGTGCCCATCACCATGAACTACTACTTGAGCTTTATCAGAGTCTTAGACCCCAACATTTTTCGCTTCAGGGATGCCCCTGAATGGCAACCGTGGGGCTCAGGAGCCGGGCAGCGACTCAGGCTCCAGACAAATTCGACCGAGATGGAACCTATTCCCCGCTTGGAGGTCGAGCGTTGCTCAATGTGGAAGGATTTTGCAGCAGATATGCAGCAATGAATGAAATACGATGCTTGAAGGGTTCATGTCCTAACGCATGGTAGCCTTGGGAATCAACCGTTGTGTGAAAATCATAAATGATGCAAATTCATCACCGGCACAGATGCCATAATGTTCATTCTCTCTCTGTTGATGAGATCTCCGTTGACATTCTAATTGCCAACTTTCCTGAGCCATGAAAACAGACTCTCTTTACATTTTGTACTCCGGCTAAGTTCACATACGTAGCACATCCAGGTTCAAATGTTGTCCAATTGAATGGTATATTCGAAATCCGAAGCCCAGAAGCTTCGGAAATCGGAGGAAGCCTTTTTCTCCATCTTTCTTTGCCTTTCATTGCACACAATTTTCTTCTTTTGCCTTGAGGGTCTTGGTCCGCCAAGAAATGGTCAATCAAATATGGATTTGTAGTACCAAGTCAAGCGACTCGCATGGTCTTGGCCCGTTGGTTCAGCGCTAACGAAAAGAAACAACATTGGAGCAGATAAAATAGGAGGATTATGAAATGTTGAACGAAATACAGCGTACTTTTCCACTAGACCATAACAAAAACCAAGGTTCCTGTTTATGGCCTAGTGAGGCCGTATTTGAGGTTTGACATGAAACAATAGCATGAATGATTAACACCCATATTTATCCATGATGGCTCTGAGTGATAGGCTCTGTAAAAGCTCAGTTGCAGTCAGACGTTTCTCTGGACAGTATGCGTGGAACAATTCAGGTGAAAGAGTTGACCTCTTGTGGTTTCGGCCCGACTTGTTACCGACTCCACAGTTCCCCCGCATTCCCCCCTTTCAGATTAATCCGATCGCCTTGAGCCTCCTTTCGACCCACGCCCCTATATCACTTCTCAACTTCTCAATAGTGAGAAGAATCAGCCCAAATCCTCTTCTCCCGACGACTACGCATCGCATTATGTGAGATCTACGGCCTGCTAGCACTTCATCTCTTGGTCGCCTACGAGCTCCCGCCCTTCGAGCATCCATTTCGGCTCAATGATTTAATACACAGAAACTCCGTCTCCGGACCATGAGTCCACAATGACAAATTGAGCACTTAGTCCTTCATCAACGACAGCTTATGCTCAGCTTAACTGTTATAGCACATGCTTGAAATATCAGTGTTTTGTCTTTTTCTTATCACAGTTGACACTGCAGTCTGGGCGCCGAGCGCGAGTCGGCCACGCGACCTCTGGACCATACATCTGCTGAGATGATAAAATCAAAAGGAATATCCCTATTTTTCAACCAGCCTAGTGCTTAAATAAATCCGGCATCGCTGCTTATTTGCAACCTTTTTGCCATTCTGTTCGTGTGTGCTGTATTGATCTAGCTACACTCTGATCAAGCGATCGAGAAATCCAGAGGTCTATTGGTTTTCTCGTTCTAGTGCCACACCTCTGTGACTCTTATATGTGAGCCATATTGGGCGAATGTTAGACTTGGCCTCCCTTGGCTGGCCTCAACCATAGCTACTACTGCCTCTCATCAGCTCATTCGTTCCGACATAATCCTTGCAAGGATCTGCCGAGAGCATTCAAGTGAAAGATAAGTCATCCCAAATAATTGCCTCGACTCAGATCCAAGAACCTCACAGAGCTTGATTGTGGATAGGAGCTCGTTATATCTGTAGAGCATGCTCTGAGAAAAAAAAATCGCTTCGAAATGAATAACATCGCTAATTTCCCGTGGAAAGTCGAGTGTTCTATCTATGCCGTGTAAGATTTCTTTTCATCGTACAACCCTTCGTTTTCCTTTAAAATCCGACTGTTTCCGCAAGCACAGCTATTTGACCAAGGTTGTCCAAGTGAGGGGTAATGAACAGCCACATGCCTGGAGATGTCGAAAATCTGGGGAAGCTATTTCTCCACCTTCTCTCCACTTTCTCCACCTTTCGTCATCATACACTCTCCATGACATGTAAATGCCCACGCAATGAAATCAAGCTCATTAGCTTACCTCCCTTCCCTCCCTGTTGAGCTGGTCGAGTTGGTTGCAGAATTCATCGACGCAGATGGCTTAATAGCACTTCGCTTAGTCTGTCGCGAGCTTCAGAGGAAAACATTTCATCACTTTGCGCAGCGGTTCCTTTCGTCTATCAAGACCGACCTCTCTGAAGACAGTCTACACCGTATCAACGCGCTTTCGCAGAATGTAGAATTACGTCCTTACGTCAACGGGTTGGCCTTCACACTTCAAAATGGTGTCGGTCGCGGCTTGGTTTGGGACCGGCACCCATGGGGTCCCATCTCCGCTCCTCTAGAGGTCGACGCAATTCGGTCTCTGCGCGATAATCTGACCCAGAATTTGACTAATTGTCGTTCTTTCTTTATTTTTTGTCGATATCCGGAGGGTCATCCAGATTTGAGCCATGTCACTATCACAGACGCGGTCGCAGTGTTCTTTGCCTTGGTCGTCGATGCTCGTCTACCGGTTTCATCGTTCCATCTCATATATGCCAACCAGTACTCGCGCACCTTGATCATGGACATGCGACGTCTTCCTAAGCTTCTCTATCGGCAGCCTGAGTTCAAGAATGTGTGGGCCAATTTACAAAAACTCTCATTGGAACAATATCTCACGTTGGATAACTTCGGCTTCCTGCTTGAGCTGGTTCTGAGCGCTCCAAATCTCCAGTCGCTCCTACTAAACCTCGGCTCCCACGATTTAGCATCTGAATTCATGCATGAACTGGCTGAGAGTGCCAACTTTTCTCAACTGCACGAACTCGCCCTGTTCCGAACATCCACTCGAGGTCCTGATCTCCACAAGCTAATCACCACTATCCGGCCAAATTTGATTTCACTCACGTTATATCATGTTACCCTGGCACCAGGGGGTGACTGGACTCCATTTCTCAAGGAGCTCAGTCAGGGATTTTTGGCTTTGCAAAGCATCTCGCTGTATTATCTCTGGGCCAGTACGCCTGCTAAGAGTCTCCTAATATTTCCAGACATCCCGAAGACGCCTTTATTGTACACTTCTAAGGGTCAACACCTCAACAAATTCTACTCGGAAGATCTCAAAGCTCCCACTGTCCTTGGGATCGAGTATTTTGGATCGAAGATGTCACATGTGTTGGATTTATTGCAAACAAATGCTGAAAGACCTTCCGCCCAATAGGACGGGCCACTTCTTTGCAATTTTCCTGTAAATTTCACATTTCTACGTGTGGTTTTAATTTTCTTTCGAGGCAACCATTCAAGTAGGAGTAGTGGTTCTTCGACCCGCAGCTATCACTGTATGCACTGGAGATTTTCTTCAAGATATCAAGAGGTCTTTCAACAGCAATCAAGTTAAAAGGGTTTTCAATCACAAGCAAATTGCTGGCTCTTTAACATAACTCCACATCGTTTCTAAGTTACATGGGCCCCTTCATATCATCAATTCACACCTTAAGCCTTGACGATCACTTTATCCACATTTCTCCCTGTGATTTCGATCAGAGTATCCTGGATGTCTCCTTCAAAGGCAACATCCAGCCGAAGCTGTTCTTTCGGCCACAGAGTTACATAGTTGTCAGACCAATAAAGCGGTGCAATTTCCGCGTTTTCGGTTGCATTGATAGCTTTCAGGCGAATGAAAACTGCCGGTCCTGCAGATTGATTTTCAAGTACGACCTTAGCATGGGTCAACCCATCGTCTGTTGGCGACGCCACGCTGTTTAGCGAAGCCTTCAAAGTAGCCAGTTTCAGTGCCTCCAGCTTGGTGTATCTTGCATGATTGCTAACTGGTGTAGTGTACCAATTAGACTTTGACCAGTTCAAGACATCTGGAGTAGCAGAGAGCCAGTAAACATTGCGACTAATGATAGCTTGAGATTTGCAATCGCTGAGCGTGAGACGGAGGAAGCCAACGTCTTTGATTTTCTTAATTTCAGCAAGCATAACCACCAACTTTGAGGAGTGAGGCATCGTATTGCTCTCCACTGTGGCCACGAAGATTTCTTTGCCATGTGCATCAATTAAGTCTACCTTGACTTGCCTACTTCCGTAATTGCCAAGCGAGTGGTTAATCAACCAAATGTTATGGCTCTCGTAATCATAAGCCACGTGTTCTGCACGCGCTCCAACCTTGGTGCCGAAGTAAGCTGCCATAGGGCTAAGATAGTAATCAAATAACTGCCAATGCAGATTTGGCCAGGCACTGTTTAACATCCAATAAATGAGTCCCGTGGCAGGCCTTGTGGCATTTTGCCGGGCTCCGTAAGCTTCAAACTGCACTCGGGTGGCCTCATAATCTGCCATCTGGCTTTTGATGAGGTAGTCTTCAAGGCTAGATGGCTTTCCATATCGAGAAAATAGAGCCTTATTGTAGATCTTCCGGTCGTAAAATTGCGAATCATAGCGAGACATATGATATTGCTCTGCATTTGGTTCTTTCCAGAGTGTTTCCAGCTCGACATCAGACAAGAACTTTTTCAGGCTTCCCATCTCTGGGGTTCCGACTCCGGCACCTAATTCAGATCCAAAGCCGAACGCCGCTCCTTTTTTGTCGTGATACCAGTAGTTCGGGGGTACCCAATCGTACGGACCGTCCATCTTCATTCCGGATGGTCCAAGAGCTTCGGGGTAACCCCGCTTGCTGGCCGATGCAATGATTGGGTTGGGCCAATCCATCACGTTAAGGGCGTCTAGATAGATCTCGGTGGCCTGCTCATTTGGCCAGAAATCCGAGCCCACCAAAAATCCAAGCAACGAAGGATGGCTTTGCATCATCTCTGCCTCGTGCAGCATCGCTGCCTTCGCAACTGGGTAGTCTGCTTTCCCCCATTTGATACCGTCGGCTTCGTCATTGTACTATAGTCTCTTTTGTCGGTGGTCTTTCGTCTCAGATAAAGTCTTGGGAAGACTTACTGTCCATCCTTCCCATTTATCACAACATTCCCAACCCGCCAGAACCATCATCCCCATTTTATCTGCGAGATCATAGAGCTCTGGGTGCTCCTGTTTTCCCTCCAAGCGCACAGTGTTGAGTCCCATGTCTAGCATATAGGTAAAAATCTTCTGTACTCTGTCAATCTTAAATCTCAAAAAGATGTCCGGTCCATATCCAGCTCCAATCACCTGGAAAGGCTCGGCATTGACGGAAAATTCGGTATCATTGTGGTTGTTCACCTTCGATGATACATGGCGAATCCCAAATTGTTGGGGAATTGAAATATCTGACACAACCGTCTGCGGCTTTTGGATAGTTGCAGTGGCCTGTACTGTGTACAAAGGCTGCTTACCCCAAAGGGCAGGCCACCAAATGTCAGGGTTTAGAATTGACACGCTTATAGACACCGTCTTCTTTTCGTCTGGCTTCAAGTCAAACATCTCACTAATTTGCCCAGCTGCAGAGCCATCTGGCCCTTTGATGGTGCCTTTGATCAGTACCCGATGATCACTCGATTCGTGGTTGGTCAAATCACTTCTAAGGGTGACCCTCACCGACCCAGAGTTGGAGCCCGTAAAATTGGTGAGGACGCGGAACTGTGACATCGAGACCGCCCCAGTCTGAGAAACTTCCACATTTCGCCAAATGCCGGTGCCGTTGTCAGCTGGGTAGGGATTCCAGTCCACAAATCCCTGGGCAAAGTCGTGAAGATAGTTGGTTGGGTACACGCGAATGAGAAGACAATTGGCTCCATCCTCAACATACTCGGTCAAGTTGTACTGGTGGCCGCCATAGGTGCCTTGCTGCTGGTCACTTGATGCAATTAGCACTCCATTCAGATAGATGTCTGCCTTGGATGTGATTCCGTGTGTCTTGAGGGTATAATATTGGGCGGTAGATGGCTTCAGTATAAATTCTTCACGATAAATCCATGGTAAATCGAATGTGGAGGGATCAGCGACAGATTCCATGTTGTCCGAGTAGAACAAATCTGTCTCGCTGTATACCCCGTTCTCAATAAGCCCTGCCATGACAGTGCCACGAGCACCAACCCGATGCCACGATGAGACATCCTTTCCTGGTCTTGAGAGTATATCCATCCCACCTGATACTTTGGTCGACGATTGGAGGTACCATCCCGGGATAACAGCAATATCACCGGCAGAGGCGACAAGTGGTTTGGGGCCGGTGACAGTTGCACAAGCACAAGCACTGATACTCAGTGCTATGCAAAATTTACTCGTTTTTTTGAACATGATTATTTCGTTTGCTCTGGTTCTTCAAAGGCCAGCAGTGATGTTGAGCTCGTATAGAAAGAATGTATGCGACAGCTTGTTCATTTAAAACATTGTACGGATCAAATTAACACTACATCACGCGACTGAAGGTTTATACGACCGTGGGATTATAGGTTGTTTTGTTTGAATAATGTACTCCGACGACCTTCTGGGCTAAGACTAGTTGTAGTTGGTACGGGCATTTCGACAAACCTGCAATATTTCCCGGTTCTGCGTAGGATCACCAGGGGTACTTCCCAACAGAGTCGCTGGGGGACTTGGCTTTCCAACCTGTGGGAGTGATCGGAGTTCATTTCTGTTCCGATGAGAGAGAACGTACTGACCATTTTCCTATTCGGGCCTTGCCAAATTACCAGGCTCTTCTATTGTTAGCTTGGAGTCAGTTTTGGGGTTTTATCTTGCCGTGGATATCAACTTTTTTATATCAAATGCAAGGTCTGAAACCAAAAAAAAAATAAAAATAAAAGGGTTGCTCCATATGTAGCAATGTGGAATTATGGAAATGGCAAGCTGTCCAGAACTATGATTTTTGTAGAAGTTCATGCCTGATCAATCAGGCACAGACTCAGGCCTTAATTTTTCCAGGCACCAAGGCAATTGGGCCCCCAGGCTCCAATCAATTTTCGTCTCACTCGGCAAGTGATCAATCTTCTTGTAGACCTCGGAAGACTCGCATATTTCAACTCTTTGAATAAAAAATCAAGTGCCTAGGGGCTAGCTTAGAAAAGTTATTCTTGCAACTTGTAACTATAGCCCCCCTCAGGGGGTTCCCCTGTATGCCGAGAACTTGTAGGCTCTTACCCCTACGTTCTACGATAACTCCTTCAACGTCTGTTTCAGAGCGACACGACAGTCCGCCAGATGAGAGAAAAGAAACAACACAATTGTACTCCTCTAATTCACTAGTGCAAGGACAAGCGATAGGGCGTGGGCCCTACCAGACAGGGGTACATGTGACAACACCGGAATGCGTCAATTGTTGCATCGCGTTCGTTTGCGGCCCTAGACTGCCCTGTCTACGCCCTTTATCCACCGTTTCCTCCTATAATCAATCATACGCCTCTCTGATTTGCTGACTTCCCTCGCTTGATCAAATTGCTCTGTTTGACAGCTGCTCTGGAATGTCACGGCAGTCCCTTATCGTGGAGCACCAGCCAGGAAACCATGGAAATGAGAGACTGCGTGTTGCACTCTTGTCGTCCTCTCATCCAATCTGGATAAAACCACAATGGAATTGTGGATTTCAGGCTTGATGCAGTCAAACGTCAAAGGTGCGCTGATGCAATTCCCCCTGTAGGAGGTGCAAATGATCCGGGGAACCACACCTTGTTACCATGCCAGTGCTCCTAGACGGCCGGAATGTGATCGTCCAATCCACACATATACATCCCCCTCTCATTTCCATGTTAAGGAGTCTGACGGTAGTTGGGTAGCGTTTCTTCATCTCTCTATATCCTCATCTCGCCAACGATTGGGGGCAAGATAAGCTATCAACCCTTCCCACATCTTGAGACTCATGATTGTGTCAACAAGCAATTGATTTCTCTTCTTCTTCAAAACTGCACTGGTTCTTGGGGGCGTGCCGCTACCGACCTTTGATAGCGTCTCTGAAAAATTCAAACTAAGCTGTTCCTTCTCAAACCAAGCTCGAAGGCAGTTTCTATAATCTTTTGCCATACGGCCAATCGGTACATAAGTTACCATGCGTGTTCTCAATTACGCATCACAACGTTCATGGATGGGTCTGCTGGCAGCAGCTCTACTGGGCACTACAACTGTGCAAGCGATAGAGCTGGATCTAGAGGATGGAGGTAGGTTTAATACTCTGTCGCATGTCTATGAGCAACAAATAATGGAGAGTCAAAGATTCTATCAGAAACGCAGCCAAAGAGGTCGCTACCAACATGATGAGCTACTACACTGGTATGAATCCTGGTGACAATCCAGGCAATTTGCCGGATCCATACTACTGGTGGGAGGCCGGTGCAATGTTCAACGCCCTCATCGATTACTGGTTCTATACGGGCGATGATACTTGGAACAACATCACGATGCAAGCTATGCTCTGGCAGGCGGGAGAGAACAAAGCGTTCATGCCGGCCAACCAGAGTAAAACCGAGGGAAATGATGATCAGGTTTTTTGGGGCTTTGCTGCTATGACCGCAGCGGAACGAAACTTTCCAAACCCGCCAGAAGACCAACCCCAATGGCTGGAAATGGCCCAGGCTGTCTTCAACACTCAGGCTCCCCGTTGGGACACTTCTTCGTGTGGTGGTGGCTTGCGCTGGCAAATTTTTACCTGGAACAATGGCTACAATTACAAGAACACTATCTCCACTGGCGGATTCTTTAATCTTGCTTCGCGTCTGGCAAAGTACACCAAGAATCAAACATACCATGACTGGGCTGAAAAGGCTTGGGACTGGACTACCGAAGTTGGATTCAGGACCCCCGAGTATCGCTTCTGGGATGGAGCTAGTGACCTCACTGAGTGCAAGCCAATCAACCAGATTGAATGGACTTACAACGCTGGAGTGTTTTTGCTTGGCGCAGCTAACATGTATAATTTGGTAAGTGCACTCTACCTGTTGATACCTTCTAAGCATTGCTTAACACTTTGGACAGACCGAAGATCCAAAATGGAAGGAGCGGACTGAGAGGATCATTGATGCTTCCGGTGTTTTCTTCTCTCGGGACCCACCCAATGTCATGTACGAACGAGCCTGTGAGACCGTCAATACTTGCATGGTCGACCAGCGGTCTTTCAAGGGATATCTGTCCCGCTGGATGGCTCAAACTGCTCAGATGGCCCCCTTCGCATACGACACAATTATGAAACGTCTCAAGGCCTCTGCTCTGGCAGCTGCCAAAACTTGCACCGGGGGTATCAATAAAAATGTGTGTGGCCTCAGATGGACAGAGCAAAAATGGGACAAGACGAAAGACTTTGGTCAGCAGATGGCTGCCCTTGAAGTCATCCAAGCGAATCTGATCACGCGTGTGGCAGCCCCTGTCACCAACGATGATGGTGGAACAAGCAAAGGGAACCCTAATGCAGGTTCTAAGCCCAAAAAGAAGATTCCGCCCGGTCTTGACTACGACATAACTTCAGGTGACAAGGCTGGTGCAGGAATTTTGACCGTGCTGTTTATGATTGGCATTGGCGGTTCCACTGGGTGGCTGATTTGGGATTGAACCTGGTTTTGCTCTTCAAGTACTCTGTTTTGGCTTTTTGTTGTCCCATGTCGCTCTTACGACTTTCCGATTCTCTTACATTCATTTCTAGACTGGTTAGTGGCATTTTGTGAATAATTTTTGGAATCCAACATATCAATCTCGCTCTGAATTGCCCTGTTCTATCTGCCCAGATTCCTCGAAGGCCGTCAATCCCATCCTTACGATGCAAACCGGACATGCTGATTAACGGGGATATGAATCCGCGCATACATATGTGCTTGATCCTCGACGAAATCAGGCGGTTGACTTTGAGATCGGTAGAAACAGGAGTTGCATGCATTGCAATCACGGAGTAATTTGCATTTCCACAGCTTCTTGTCTCGGCGTGACTTCAGCATTCCCAACGAGGCCTCTTACATGATTTCCATACAATGACTATCGAGAAAGAGCGTTGCCTAGACTTTTGCAATACAATTCTTCAAAGTACGGGCTCAGTCATGGACTATTCCTCAGTCGAGACTCCCGTGCACTGTAAAGCAGGGGTGGTGGTCAACGAAGGCACTGATTTCCACGTCGAGGTACGAATTGCCCCCGCGCCACGGCCAGGTAGGATTCCAATCAGATTTGAAAAATAACAAATTTTTCAATCTTCAAATGTTCACAATCTCCGATGCTCTGGTGTATTTCACGACGATATTTTGACCAGGCTGAACTACACCGAAGTGTGCTCATCCGATATCCACATGATTCAGGGAGACCTAGGTCTCCGTTTATGTCAGCCTTCGGTGTGCGATCTCCGGGACATGAAGTTGTGGGTGTGGTGGTCAACGTTGGAGCTAACTTGAAAGATCTTCAAGTTGAGCGATAAAGATGGAATCAAGTCAATGATTGATCCATGTGGTTCCTGTGCAGCTTTCTTGAGTCTACCATTAACAAGGTAAAATTTGTAAACACACTGTGACACACTTGGCTTCAATTTGATGTGATGCGCACAGATAATGTCCTGCATTTACTGTAAAATACTCGAATGACTCAAAAAAAAGTCCAAAAATGCTCACACTCGGAGTCGAACCGAGGATCTCATGATTACTAGTCATGCGCTTTACCACTAAGCCATGCGAGCTTATTTGTGTTACATTAGAGATGAGAGTGTATGATAGAGACACTAATCAAAAACACAGCAGATGAAGAAAAAATGGACTCGCGGGGAATCGAACCCCGGACCACTCCCATGCTAAGGGAGTATTATACCACTAAACCACAAGCCCAACTTGATGAAGCAATTTGCGTATTAACGCTACAACAGCCTTTGCTAAACTTTGTGCCACACTCTTTACCTCTCAACGACGCATTTAAAGGTAATGTTCCAAAAACCTTGCAAAACTCTCATTATCACCTCAATTGTGCGGGCCGTGACTTCTTCTGGGGATCTACATGCGCATGATAGCAATCCTCCCCAGCCTTCCTCCCGAGGGGACACCACTACGGAGCATTAACAGCCCCTCAGTTACAAGATAGGCACTTCGGTATGACGTGATCGCCAAATGTAGCGAAATCGCTGTCAATCTCTTCGGCTTAAGGTTTAACTAGTCTGAATGAATACGTGGATTGACATGCTTTCCCCGTATGGGACCTGCAGGTGCATATTGTGGAGAAGCGGGGGACTACCCCGGGCAGCTGCAATCAGACATTGCAACAACTCCTTACTAGCTACTTCTTCCCGCTTATCAGTATCCTTAAGGGTTAATTATGTGACGCGGTGGCACTGGGCGCATTGCAACGGACTTTATTTGAGTTTGACGCCATTCATCCAGCACTGCTCCCATGGGTCGACAATTAGCCGGCCGGCACACCCACTGGCGTCTGAGGGGGAAGCCTCATTTGAGGGGGAATCTTTGTTATTTAAAAGGACCCCTTCCAACGTGTGAGACAAAAAGACTGTCCCTTCGTCTCAACAGAAATGCGAGCACCGTTCATCTCACTTGCGGCTTTGGCTGTGTCTGTACAGGCACAGGAAGTATACGTGACAACAACCGGTTACTCGGCTAGATCACAATGTACACAATCAGATGTGCCCCCAGATTACCGCTTTCAGCCATTCTCCTATACCTTGAATGAGACAGTGCGGTAAGAAATATTTTGACCTAGTTTACACCATCCTTTGCTAATTAAAATATGAGATATGCAACCTCGGTTCCTTCCCCGACGACAACACGGAAATATGCCCCACCTTATACAGACATTGCCAAGGATTTGACCACTAGCTGGTCAACCTCAACCTGGGGTAGTTGGGTTCCAGGGCAAACCAGTATCAGCGCAACTGACACGAAGGACCCATATGGACAAGTAGCATGGTCCTCGATGTGGCTACAGGCAGATCTTCACAACTACGTATGTCGTATGCTTTTACTTCTTCTTAAAAAAAAATCAACAGAGACGATGCTCACTCTCTCAGACCACCACTGGATTATTCTCAACAACTGTTAGTCCCACACCTGTGCCCAGCAGTGAGCTAGTCTTTCCACCACGCGACTATTTTGGCCCCACCGACTGCTATAATTTCCCCAAAGACTTTATCTTTGGAGTTGCAGGAAGTGCGGCCCAAATTGAAGGTGCAATTGGGTTGGATGGTCGGGGGCCCTCGTTGTTGGAGAAATTAGAACCCGACAGCAAGCCAAAGGACTACATCACCAACGAAAACTATTTCTTGTATAAGCAAGATATACAGCGACTGGCTGCAATAGGTGTGGAGTATTATAGCTTTACAATTCCCTGGACGCGGATTTTGCCCTTTGCTCTGCCAGGAACACCTGTCAATCAACAAGCCATTGATCACTATAATGACGTGATTGACACAGTGCTAGATGCAGGAATGAAGGTAAAAAATTCCCAAATATCTCGGCTGATGCCCGTTGAGCTCTAGGATTCTAACGCTTATCGCAGCCAGTGGTTACAATGCTTCATTTCGACAGTCCTTTGATGTTTGTCGCCAGCGATAATATCACGAAACACCCAGACATTGGCTACAACAATGGCGGTTATCAGAATGAAACTTTTGTCGACGCTTTTGTCAACTATGGAAAGGTATTATTTCTAGTCCCCAACTCATCAATCCTTACGCAAGTCTGATATGGTTTACTTCCCAGATTCTGCTCTCTCATTATGCAGACCGAGTCCCAATATGGGTGACCTTCAATGAGCCCCTGCTTTACGCATTCAATTTCAAAGGAGCGGACCACGTTGTCAAGGCACATGCTCAGATCTATCACTTCTATCATGATACATTGAAGGCTACAGGGAAAATTGGGATAAAGTTCAATGATAACTTTGGAGTGCCTCAAGATCCGAAAAATTCTAGCCATGTCCTGGCAGCTGATCGCTTCCAAGAAATGCAACTGGGTATCTTCGCAAACCCAATCTTCTTGGGTAAGCAATATCCAAAGTCCGTGTTAGAAACACTCCCGGGAGCCAAGCCTTTGAGCAAATCCGAACTGAACCACATCCACAACACATCCGACTTTTTCGGGATCGATCCGTACACCGCTACGGTAGTTTCTCCGGCCGATGAAGGCTTCAAGGCTTGCGCTGCCAATCGATCAAGTTCGAATGAGCTTTTCCCATATTGCGTCAAGCAAGAAACAAAGAATATCTACGGATGGAACATTGGGTATCGCTCTGGGTCCTACGTCTATATTACACCGACGCATTTACGAGAATATCTCTTCTATCTGTGGAACACTTTTAGAACCCCAATTCTGGTGTCAGAATTTGGGTTTCCGGTACACGCAGAAGCAGAACGGGAGGAGCTCTCTGATCAGCTTTTTGACTCTCCACGCAGTGTCTATTATCTTTCCTTCATGTCTGAAATTCTCAAGTCAATATATGAAGATGGTGTGCATGTTATGGGAGCCCTTGCTTGGAGTTTCGTCGACAATTGGGAATTTGGAGACTACGCGCAGCAATTTGGCATTCAAGCGGTCAATCGTACAACCCAGCAGCGATACTACAAGAAGAGCTTCTTTGACCTGGTTGATTTTGTGAAAACTCGACACCTGAACAAAGATTGATGTGTTCCGTGGCAAATGCCAGGTAGCTAGTGGCAAATCTAGGGTAGACTTGCGGAATGAGCAGATTGCATTGCACTTTTACAACAACCGAATGTAGCAGTGAGAAAGGAAATTGGTACGTATGTCTCCTCCGCGCGGTACAAAGTAATCCCTTTCTTTCCAATTCTTAGTTTCGGCCCCTCTTTCGTTTCTTTGTCTAATCACCAAGGGGTGTCCTTGACATCATATTCATTTGGAGCCTCTCGTCTTAACGCGAAAGTGACAGGAAAGCGCACGATACAAGACGTGGTGCAGTAACATTGGCATTGAAAGTCTTGTTTAGATTGTCCCTATCAAATAAGTATTATAGTGGATGTTCTGGGAATAAATCCAAGTTACGTTCCTTCTGGTCTGGGAAGTGACCAGTCACTCGGCCCCGCGTTGTTGACCAAATAGTCGAGTCCTCTCCATTGCAGCTGGCGCTCTACTGCTGCCACACTATCTTTCACACTTGTTTCATCAGTGACATTTAAATTGACGATCTGGGTTGGCCCTGATGAAGCACTTACAACTTTCTTCAATCGAACTGAATCCTCTTGGCGCGTGGTGGTGATGACTGTCCCCACCTCTGTTTTGAGCAATATCGCTAGACGGGTGATCAGTGCCAACCTGAGCCCTCGAGCGAGGTCATATTTTACGAAGGGGGTGTTTAGAGACGGTCGAATAGCAGCATAGGATGGGGGGTTTAAAGAGCAATGATTACGGAGAAAACATGATGAAACGTCAGGTGAGTTGCCTCCTAGTCGACTGCTTGATGTTTAAATTACCTGGGTAGACATCTGGATTTTCGCTACTAATTCCACCAATTTCTGGTCGTATAAAAACTTCTTGGACCGTAGATAGGTCATTGGGCATCTACCAACGCGTGGTGTGGTGCCTCATGCTTGTGTGTAAAGCCGTACAGAAAATTGTCGGAAAATGTTGTAGTATCCAATTTTGGTCTATGGAGAAGTAGGTTAGGGTGTTTTGGAGGGAATTTTCTTGTATTGATGCTATAACCCATCTGCCAAAAAAGCACCAGTGTCAGTAGAGGTATATATATTGCTTTGTGACATCGACACTTCCCACACCATTGACTTTTATAGCCCCGTGAATCTTTTTCAACGGCAAGCCAGTCACTAGAATTCCTGCTATTTACATATAATTGGAACAGAAAAGTCAACTTCATGTGGCATGCAAGTAGTAGTCTTTCTCACTGTCAGGGACGATCACGTGTGACTTACGTCACCGAACTGAGGTCCCGAGCAGGTCGTCCGCTTGTTCTTCTTCCCTCTTGCTCTCAAGACATTGGTTTTGCAAATTTTCACAGAGAGGTGAATCTTTAGGTGCATTGACGCCATGGCTGACTCGTTCACCTTGCCTTTGCGCCCCATCCCCGAGAAACGTGATCGTCCGGACACCTTGCCCGTGGAGATCGCGCAAATCAACAATCAGTGGGGCTCTTTTCGCGAAGTGAATGAAGATCTTCTTCGAAACAAGATCCTCGAGGAGGAAGAAAAAGATGGCCTGAATGAGGTAGACGAGAGTGACCAAGATGCGACCGATCTTGACTCGACGGAGCGTTTGGAACAACTGTACAAGCGGCGTGCTGAGATCACCCAGTTCGCCATGTAAGTCTAATGGTATTAAAGCCATGCCCTCTGCGCACGATAACTCACAATTCTGTAGGCAAGCTCACATGGAGACCATGTTCGCCCTCGACTTCGTCTCCCTTTTGCTCTCCAAGCAGGCCCCGCGTCAGGCGGAAACCTCCATGTCGGCCTTCCTCAAACAAGTCGCACCTCTGGGTTCGCTCAATTCCGAAGTCGTGAACCCCCCTCCGAAGCCGGAATCTACAACCAAAGATGTATCAGCAGTGTCAAGAGGCTGGCGAATCCAAAATTTCAACGCAGCCGCAAACAAGCTTCTACAGGCCGCATTCAGACTTGAAACCGAAGTCGCGTCGGAGACTCGATATTGGAATGAGGTGCTGGCTGTGAAGGACAGAGGATGGAAACTTTCCCGTCTCCCACGCGAAAAGCAAGCGCTAGGCGTGCAATATGGGTTCCTTGAAGGTAAGCGCGTACCTTTGTGCAATTGATAGTGCAGGGAGCATGTGCTGACCACAACCAACTGCAGCTACGCCGGTTTTTCGCGACCGTGGTCTTGCTTCCTTAAGCCGAGCTGAGGATGGAGCGTTAATATTGGATGAAGGCTTGATCCCCCCTAAAACCCGTTTTGTCAGGGTACAAGTGATACAGGATGGTCGGCTCTCGGGAATCTCTAAACCGACCCGTTCCACCTTCAACAGTGATGGATTGATTGAGAATCGTATTCTGCAAGCGCGTGATACTGTCTATGAAGAGGAGCTATTCCATGAGCTTGTCCGAGAAGCCCGGGCGATCGCGAGCTTTGGCGTTACAACGCGTCAGAATCTCATTCAAATTCCTGCTTCCGATGACATCGAGATTTTACTGGACTTGGTTGACACTGATGAAGACGCCTCAGAACACGAACATGATATTTCACAGCAAGGAACTTCTCTTGCAGAGGGCTTGGCACATACGATCCGGATACTTTTGGCGTATGCCCATCGTCAAAACTTGCGCCGTCGGACTTTACTTCCGCCGCCTTTGACCCCGAAAATGCGATCTGTTCCTGAGCACCACCTTATTCGGCCAGCCCTGGCTTACATCAAGCACATGTCCCATGTACGCTGGCTTCAGTCATTTCTGAACGACCTTTTTGGTGTTTTGCAATCGGCAGATTTGAAACCTCCAGCGTACACCTCAAGGGTCTTTTCGACAGGGAGACGGAGACAGACCTCTTCTGCTCCAGCAGTGGAGACTCTCGTTGGGCAGTTCCTTACCCCCTTACTGTCTACATTCAATGGGAAAATTTTGACACCTCGGGGCTCTTTCTCAATCGCTATTCACACCAACCTTTCCTCACCACCATTCGGCACCACCTTTGATGTGTCATTCAACATGCCCAAGTACCAGGACCTTGAGTCCCCTGGTAAACTTCATCACAGGGAAGAAGTGGAAGCCGCCATCACCCATCTCTTGATGCTTGATGTTGTTTTCACTATCTCATCCAACAACAGTTTATCTAATTCTGAGTCTGACAAGGACAAAGCGAATGGCACCTGGGAAGCAATTTACCCCGAACATGGTGAACTTCTGATCCCTTCCAAATCAGAAAAACGAAAGAAGATGAAGATTGCTCTGTCTCGTCATGAATTGTCTCTCGAGATCTACACCGTGCGCTGTATCGACGGAACCGGGCGTGGGAATTGGGAAAAGCCTTCTCACCATTCAATGTCGCATACTTGGAAACAATCTTCTATCGCTGAATCGTTCAAGCAGTTTTCTTTGATGGATTATGTGTCCACCCAGGTACCACGATCGTGACCCACAAAGAGCGCAGATTGGCAGCAGGCCGAACACACTCCACTCCAGCCCGCCTTGAGCCGATCATCGATCACCGATCTTCAATCACAGGGCTTGTGGTTTAGTGGTATAATACTCCCTTAGCATGGGAGTGGTCCGGGGTTCGATTCCCCGCGAGTCCATGTCTTTTTGTTTCTGACATTTTTTGCGTGAACCCAAAAAGTCGTGATAGCTCGCGTGGTGAAGTGGGCCGAAGGAAAATTTTTTTAAAAACCCGTCTTCTATCGCAAAATCAACAATAGACAGAAATTTGAATACCCTATACAACTTATGGCTAAGGACGCTAAATTGAAATGCAATTTCGTCTGAAAAATTTCTCATAACTTCGAGCTCAGTGCTTTGACGGCCTCTGGGACTGTGATCGTCTCTCGAAGTCTCTTTTCGCCCAGTCCATACGCAACTGGGAGCCAATCGCTCATATCTTCACCCAATATCATCAAAGCCAACGCCTCGCCACTTATCAGGCTGTTGGCCATACCATATCCATTGAATGCTGCAGCAATCCATTCGCCATCACCTTCCCGGCCTGTCAACTTCGGTGACAATCGTCCGACCATTGGCAGACCGTCAGAGGAGTAACCCATAATTCCACTCCACGAACTGACCAGACGCCAATTGGATGTGTCGTCTTTGCCAAAGAATCGCGGGAGGGCGCCTTCTAAGTGTTTAACAGAGTGATCGGTCACAAAACTGTCATCCGCAGACACCGACTCCTCGAACCGCGCATGCTCGCCACCGAAGTAGAAATAACCGGTCTTTGCACTCTGTCCTAGGTAGTACAGCCCATATCCAAGACGTTGGGTTTCTGGATCGTAGGATGGAGGGTAATGGAAACCCCATGACACAGTCGTGCCTTGATTCGACACAGCATTCTGCGAATCTTGGACTGTCATTGTGCCTTTGAAAGGATGGACAAGTCCTCTTATGTGAGGAAGGAGATGTCCGCTGTAGCCATTGGTGTAATGAACTACAGTCCGTGCTCGTATTGGGCCACGAGAAGTGTGCAATGCATACGGATGGGTACATTTGACGGGTGAGGCAAGTGTTGAAATGTGCTCAACAGATTCAACTGGTGTAAATGTCTCAATTGTTAGGCGACCTGAATGTTTTTCCAAAAGTGCTGCGAAAACTTTGGTGACGAGACGATATGGCCATACTGTTCCAGCAGGAAGCAGCGCTCCTCCAGATGCGCCATGAATTCCGTACTCCTAAAAAAGAAACCCATCAGATTGACACCCTATGACCGTGTAGGCGATACGCCTCACCTTGAGCACAGCATCCGCATCCAAAATTGTATACAGCGCTTTCTTGGATGGATGATCCATTTCCAAACGCGCGATACTTTTCTTGAAGTCATCAAACTTCCCCTGTGTCAAGAACACTCGCAGCTTCTGCATACGTTGCATTTCGCTCAACTCCACGGCATCATATTCTTCTATCAATTCTTGCATCTTCTCTAAATTGCGGAATGTGAAATCCACAATATTGCCTGCCGTTTCAACCCCATGAGTCTCTGCAAGATTCATATACTGCTCTCCGGCATTCGCAGCCATCTGTCCCCCATTGCGCCCAGTCGCACCCGAACAGAGGGCCCGGGCTTCCAGAACGGTTACTGTGGCAGTAGGGTGGCGTTCCAAGAGGGATCTAGCTACCGATAGACCCGTGATGCCGGATCCAATGATCGCAAAATCTCGGACAGTAGGCAATTCCGAGGATTGGACATTGGCAAGAGCATGCGGAATGTGCTGCCAGTATGATTCGGTGGGATTGGGCCGCGGTAGGCCTGGGTCAGCCGTAACGAGGCTGAAGACTACGTTATGTTAATCCTCCATTAATATTGCGGTAGAGTCAAGTGTGATAGAAAATCGGCCAACTTCAAGAAAATGGGAGCTGGTAAATTTCCTTATATAGATGTAGATATCGTGCGGGGTTTGTCTTATCTAGAGGGGTCGAACTGCCCAAGTGGGAATTGAGTGAGTTCTTTCCGGTATTCCGATGCCGGAAGGATAGCCTCTGCACACAAAGGCTACGTTGTTAAACTTTGTAGATTGCTTGTTGCAAAACGCTCTAAAATTTCCCGGGGCTCAATACAACGTACACGTATAAGAGCGAGGATTTCCTGTCTATTCTACCATGGGGGTATTGTGATGGTATATTAAAAGATCTCAGAAGGTCGCTGCGCAGGGTCATTATTGAGGCACATTGGTGTTTGGCATTTTCGGCGTCAAGCCTTGCCCTTGAAAGCCTTAGAATGTATTCTTTCCTTTTCAATATGGCCTTTGCCGGTCGGTAGATCAAATTGCTATGGAGGCGGAGACCTAAACAAGAAATCCTAAAAAGTCTCTGCGATACAGTATTCAGAATTGGTACGTGAGACCTATTTCTAGATTGTTTAACATAAAGTCTGGGGTGATTCCATTGGATTTAAGGCATGTAAATGGCGTAACTACATTCCAGATAGCATTCCACACCAACTGAACTATCTAGGAGCTTGGAACTGATAAAGCCAGTTTTATCAGAGCGTATATTCAATTTTGAGGAATGAAATCCATATAATAGTTCAATGATTTCCTCTTTGCCTTGCAATTTCATCCTTTTATTGTACCCCTTTTGTTATACCTTGGACATCTCATTTTCTTCACAATGAAACTCTCGGCCATGATTTTTACAGTTTTTGCACTGGCCTCAACTGGTATTGCAGCGAAGACATGCACCCCTAGCTTTGATTATTGCTCCGACGTCCTGCTCCAAGATAAAGGTAACCTATATCCCGTCAAGCGTCGCTGCGCCAGGCTAATCAAAGAAATCATAGGGTTCACTGAGGCCGATCTGAAGGATGCTTTGAAGGGATCAGATCTAGAGAACGAGGATCTCGAGAACATTTTGTTCCATTGCAAGAACCCCGGTGATATTGGACACCCCAAGCTCTGCACAAGCGGGTGTGAAAACCCAGCCACAGAGGGTAGCCACTCGTGCTCAGCGTAAGTCACAGTCTTGGCGTCAATTTTGAACTCGCAGCTGACAGCGCAGCAGCTGAATCACGCTTGTTGCCAGAGGGCACTGGCCTTACAATTGTATTTGGTAGCAAAGCTTCGGCTACAAATGGGCCCAAGGGCAGTCACGATTGGAAAATAATTCAAATTAGAAGACCTTCACTCACAGAAACGGCCACATCGTAAAGCCCGTTATAAGAAGCGGTCAAATAAGAAGAGGAGAAATGCTCCAGACTATGGGCTGATATTGAAGCAAGGCATCCAACATAATGTCGGATTGCCACGAGATTGTCGATCATATGGTGAGTAGACAAATTCATCGCATTTAGTCGTCAAAGTGATCGGTAATTCGGGAATATATGCCAAGAATAATACAGCTTGCCACTTGAAGGTAAATATCGACGAATTTTACGGTCCAATACCCTTTCTACGTAACTAGGCATTGTAGGACTTCGGCAGGATGTGGTCGGCAAGTGGGCAATACCGAACGAAAGGTGCCGAAGAAACCGAATACCGAGATCTCGGAGCAAATCGACTTGATCGCATTAGTGTCAGCCCATTCCACCATGATTGCATAAACTGATATTTGATCCACGTGGGATCTAATCCAACGATAAAAATTTTTTGGTCCTCGGGTCTGCTGTTACCCATGTATCCACCCATAGTAGGATCATGTGCATTGTGACTATGGTGCTCAGAGCTTCCATTGAAGTAATTATCCCCTAGATGGAGTAAAATTGGCACGTGGAGCCCTTCGCATAAGGATTAAACAAGGTGCTGTAGGCAAAGCATGTTCGCGTCAAAACGTGGCGCTAGACCAGACGCTGTATGGACAAATGCAAGTGGCACTGCAAAAGTCCTGGAACTGGTCTGACAGTCTTCTACAGGCCAGATAATTCCGAGCGAGGCAATATAGTTCCACAAGAGCCATTATGGGAAACCGTGTGACAATACGCGTGGCATCACCCCTTTGGAGCGATTCTTATCCACCGAGCTTGTGTGAATGAACCGATCAGACCATGTTTGCCAAGGGTGCACGGGTAACTAGTTTTACGGTGACAACTGGCTGCAAAATTAAGCCATAATGAAGCAGAAGAAGAATGAACATGATGAGATTGACTATGATCCAGAATGACAACAACAAGAATCAGCTCTTGAGGGAGAAGATGTCATCGGGGCCAAACAAAACCAAACAAATCAAACAGTGCTAGTGACGTCAGGCATTGTCCCTTCACCGCCTACACTAAACCCAAATTGACTAAGCGGTGACATGCGTCTTAACAGTCAAGTTGTAAGGGAACGCAGGTACCAGAAGGGTAGTAGAAAAGGTCACACCACTTTCATTTACGAGAGATTAAATACAGCTTCAGAAGTGTCCAGCTCAATTCATAAAATTTCTCAAATTCTCGTGTGTTCTTAAATCCCACACCTTACTCTAGTTTCAACTTGTTTCGTCTGTGACGCAAAGCACCCACCTTCTGCCCGATTTCTCTCACCGGATTGGGTTTGACCCCTCCACACCCCACCCATTTGTAACTGGAGCTTTACAACGCTTATCAGTCTCTCTTTTTTTTGACTTGTTTTCTTCTCAACTACTTTTTGTTTTATCCCTTGATTACCGACCTGTACCTCAGGTCGAAGCTTTCAATTCGATATGGAGCCCATCAAGATTGCCACTCAGCCGGCTAAGAGACGCCGCATCGGTGTTCTCACCTCTGGTGGAGATGCTCCCGGTATGAACGGTGCCGTGCGGGCTGTTGTCCGTATGGCAATTCATTGCGACTGCGAAGCCTATGCCATTTTTGAAGGATACGAAGGACTGGTCAATGGCGGCAACATGATCCGCCAGCTACACTGGGAGGATGTCCGTGGCTGGTTGTCCCGTGGTGGTACCCTGATCGGCTCTGCCCGCAGCTTGGCATTCCGTGAGCGTGTTGGCCGTATGAAGGCTGCGAAGAACATGGTCTTGAAGGGTATCGACGCACTAGTCGTCTGCGGTGGTGACGGTAGTTTGACTGGTGCTGATGTCTTCCGTGCCGAGTGGCCCAGCTTGTTGGCAGACCTCATTGCCTCCGGGGAGTTGTCACCTCAGCAGGTGGAACCCTACAAAGTGTTGAACATTGTGGGCCTGGTTGGTTCGATTGACAATGACATGTCTGGAACAGATGCCACTATCGGTTGCTATTCGTCCTTGACCCGTATCTGTGATGCCGTCGACGATGTCTTCGATACTGCATTCTCCCATCAGCGTGGTTTCGTCATTGAGGTGATGGGCCGACACTGTGGATGGCTTGCCTTAATGTCCGCCATCAGTACAGGTGCAGACTGGATGTTCCTCCCTGAGATGCCCCCCCAGGATGGTTGGGAGGATGATATGTGCTCCGTGATCACCAAGGTGGGACTTCTTCCCGCGTTTCTCAATGTCCTCTTTTTTGTCTAACTGATGGGATTTGATAGAACCGAACCGAACGCGGAAAGCGCCGTACGATCGTTATTGTCGCCGAGGGAGCCCAGGATCGCCAGTTGAACAAGGTCTCAAGCTCAAAAATCAAGGATATTCTCACAGATCGGCTGGGACTGGACACTCGAGTCACCATTCTAGGCCATACCCAGCGAGGTGGTGCGGCGTGCGCGTACGACCGCTGGCTGTCAACTCTGCAGGGTGTGGAGGCTGTTCGTGCCGTGCTAGAAATGTCGCCCGAGTCACCTTCACCAGTTATCACCATCCGCGAAAACAAGATCATGCGCACCCCTCTGATGGAAGCAGTTCAAGCAACGAAAGATGTGGCAGCAAAGATTGACAAGAAAGACTTTGAGGAGGCCATAAAGCTTCGCGATCCTGAATTTAAGGAGTACTACAACGCGTACTTGACCACCGCGACCCAGGACGACCCAAAGAAGATTCTTCCAGTGGGCAAGGTATGCACCTACTTCCCCAACCCGTCTGCCCCTACTCAGGCTTTTGAGATGCTTACTGTTCTATAGAGAATGCGAATCGCCATCATTCACGTCGGTGCCCCAGCTGGTGGTATGAACCAAGCAACCCGTGCCGCAGTTGCATACTGCCTGACCCGTGGCCATACCCCACTGGCCATTCATAACGGTTTCCCCGGATTGTGCCGTCACCACGACGACCAGCCAGTCAGCTCAGTCCGCGAGGTCACTTGGCTGGAGGCGGATAGCTGGGTCAACGAGGGTGGTTCAGACATTGGAACTAACCGTAGCCTTCCATCTGCTGATATGGAGAAAACTGCCAAGTGCTTTGAGTTGTACAAATTCGACGCCTTGTTTGTTGTTGGTGGTTTCGAGGCTTTCACAGCCGTCAGCGAGCTGCGCCAAGCTCGTGCGAAGTATGATGCGTTCAAGATCCCGCTCGTTGTGCTCCCAGCTACCATTTCTAACAACGTCCCGGGCACTGAATACTCCTTGGGCAGCGACACATGCTTGAACACCCTAATTGACTTCTGTGATGCAATCCGTCAATCCGCCTCCTCTTCTCGCCGCCGAGTGTTCGTGATTGAGACCCAAGGTGGCAAATCTGGATATATTGCGACCACAGCTGGCCTCGCGGTGGGTGCCGTGGCAGTGTATATTCCCGAGGAGGGTGTTGATATCAAGATGCTCTCACGCGACATCGACTTCCTGCGTGACAACTTCATCCGCGACAAGGGAGCTAACCGTGCAGGTAAGATCATTCTGCGTAACGAATGTGCCTCCGGCACATACACTACCCAGGTGATCGCCGACATAATCAAGGAAGAGGCAAAGGGTCGCTTCGAGTCCCGTGCCGCTGTTCCCGGTCACTTCCAACAAGGTGGCAAGCCTTCCCCAATGGATCGTGTCCGTGCTTTGCGTATGGCCATCAGGTGCATGCAGCACATCGAAGGATATGCCAATAAGAGCGGCGACGAAATCGCCGCGGACCATTTCTCCACTGCCGTGATCGGTGTCAAGGGCTCACATGTGCTCTTCTCCCCAATGGGCGGTGAAACTGGACTGGAAACCACAGAGACTGATTGGGTGCGCCGTCGCCCCAAGTCTGAGTTCTGGCTTGAATTGCAGGACGTCGTTAATGTTCTTTCTGGACGCACCCACGCTAGCACCAATGAAACCTGGTCTTGCTATGAGAGTACGTAAACCGGACTGCGACCCTACTGATATGCACGTTCACCCCTATCCAATTCGTTTCGTCGCTGCTCGCTTTTCTCTTTTGAGGATCGGCTCCTCCGTACAGTGATCATTTCTGGTGCCCTCTTTAATACGAATGTTAACGATTATCGCTTTTTCCTACTTTTCAGATCCTTCGACAGTCCGATCCGTCCCCTCGGTTCCCAGCTCCCCTTGAAAGGATTTCCACCTCCAGGACTTCAACTTCTTTCCAACCAACGATGGAATCCACGCCAATCTTGCTCCCGGGATACATTTAAATGCTTCTTCCAATTACTGGCCGGCGAGCCATCCGCTAACCTGTGATATTGAGGGCGATCGTACTGAATGTCCGTTACGCTGTGTACGATGCTATGCAATAAGTCCTCCAGACCCAAGGCTGGTTTACGTGACATTTACGCCTGGGAGTTTGGGGATGAATTTTTTTTTTGTTTGATGGCTTTCTGTCTCCTCTGAAGACTCCTGGTCTACGACATAAAGTGCGGTGTAGATAGAGCCATCAATCTGAACCTTGAACTTCTTTCAAATTAACCCATGATTCTATGAGTGTATGCTACCGTAGAGATGTAGATAGCCCAAAGACAGTACTATAGAATGACCCGAGGGCATGTCAGCCGTAACACCAACCCTGGAATCACACAAGACTAAAACCCGGACAGATGCTGCAATGTTCGAAGTTGTGGAGGAGTTCAATGACTACGGGTGTATTGTCTTCTCCAGCTCATCGAGTAATTCCACCGTCTCAGCAGGGCTTGCAATCCAGGCAGTTGTGGAAGCAAGACGGGCCTAATAAGAAAAAAAAAAGATGTTAGTCTGGCCAGTAGCCGAGGAGAGGTTCAAGAATTATGATTTTCCCACCTTAAAGTCATTGGCTCCAGCTGACAAAAACTGATCGCCAACATGCAATGTTTTAGCTGGATCAATACCACCAAAATAGCGCTGACAGACGCGCACACCCCATGATTTGTCGCCAATATCCACAAACACATCATTTCCACCGTTGAAAGCACAGAATGGCAATCGTGCCCCAACAGCCGAGCGCTGGACCGTGTTTTGCACCACCAAAACCGTCTCTTCCAACTGCTCACGACTGATTCGAACACCGTTTACCGGGTACACCCCAACCGCACGATCCTTGCGCAGAATAGCAGCGGGGAGATTAAGATTTGCAGCACAGGCACGCAGCGCCGACTCGGCAATATCCAGAAGCTCGGTAATATCGTCGTCACTCCAGGTCTGCATCTCATCCAGCAACCATTCGCTCCGCCGCACGTAGGCGAGTCGGGCGTCCGAGGTCGGGTCGAAGCGGAACAAGAAGTTACTCTCGCCGCCCATAACGATCAGTCCTTGTTTCTGCTCAGGAGTGAGAATTGTTGAGTCGTGCATTGCGTCGAGCAGACCCTGTAGGCGCTCGTAGTACTTCGGCGCGTCGGTGTATCCTGCCGCGGTCACAATACCGACCTTGCGGTCCTGTTCGAGGAGTCGCAGAATGCGGGGGATGACTGGGTTGTCGGCTGTGAGACAAGCGCCGTCGTCATAGAGTGTTACATCTCCATCGAACGTGACTAGTTCCACATCGCTGGAGCGAACAAGGCCTATCACCTGGGCGGAGTTCAAGATAAGTCGGATATCGTTGAATGAAGGGGCCACGAAGCGGCGGCGACTGATGAATCGTTGCTGGTCTTGATACTTGAACGCATCTTCCAGATATAATTTGGTGAAAAAAGTGCCGATCGATGGCACCAGAAGATTCAATTTGGATTTGCCGGGAGCGTTGCGTTCGTAGTGTTGGACTTGGCAAGACAGATTAGGAATTATCCCCTATTCTCCGGATTTTCTTTTTTTTTTAAATCCACTTACTGTGATCAAGCATCAAATTCTCTACATCACGCATTATCTCTGCATAGCGATGGTGGGTATCGGCCGCGACTGTCTTCAGCACTTCCCCATTTTCCTTGTAGATAGCGGTAGGCTGGGAATGCAGGACAAAAGGGACGGCCAGCAGACCCTAGAGGGATTAGAATTGACCAACCCGATACGACTAAGCGACATACTTTGATCCATTCGATCTATCGATTGTTAGGCTGATTCTTTCATCCTTTTAGACAAGTAGTGATGACTTACTAGTTGATCCCTGCGATGGGTCTATCTGGCGGAGTTAGTGAGGGGGCACGAAATTCTCGCGGAGATAGCCGTACCTTGAGGGCATCTAAGAGACATTAGCGGGGACATCTAAAAGCAACCAAAAGAGGGGTCAATGGCGTACATTCTACTCTATATCGCGTGGTCATGATTTGATGAATGAGGTCAAGGAGAAAGATGGATGATTCGGGCGGTGTTTAGCTCTGGTGCACGTCCCTCCGGTGACTCACGCGGAGCTCGGAGTATAAAAGGTGCACATACGAAGTGTTGGCGATCTAGCATGTCCTCAATTGGCCGAATTGGTCTGATTCATTGTTGGAAATCTAGTTTGTGGCCCTATTCTGTACGAAATGATTGGACCTAGACCCTTGCTTGCAACGCCTTCAACCGTCATTGGCCCCTCAAATGTGCCTCGAACACAAAATGTTGTGTGGCCTATGTAAGGCATCATGAATTCGAAAATCTCTTTGACGATGACTCTAAGTCCCAGAAAACCCCCTCAATACTGCCTAGGATGACGATCCCTTTTCCACATTCACAAATCATACTACCCTTGAATTTTAAAAGCCCCTTTCAGAAGAGAAAGAAACAGCGAACTCCAAACTCCATCAAAAGCAATACTAGCTGTATCTACTCAGTCCACTCCAGCAACCATGAACACGCTTGAACATGACGATGCTCCACCAATGTACTCCCCATCCAAGGAATTCAATTCTTTGCTCGATGAAAAGACCAAAAATCCCATGATTCTTCTACCGGAGCAAAATGAGCCCGGGTTTGCTGTTGCATCTGCTCTCAGCCGAGGTCTGCAAGTACCATCCAGATCTGGAGCCTGCACATCAGGATTCAAGTATCCAGACGAAATATCCCATTACGGCATCTCTGAAAGTCACTGGGCGCAGTTTACACAAGTAATCTGCGACGAGGCTAAGCTTTCTTGTCGGCAGTGGACCACTGTGGTTGGCAAAGGCCTGGGCACAATGGCAGTAGGCGGGCTGATGGTCGGCATTTTGGGCGCTATTCCTGCGATCTTCGTTGCCCGTCTCACCAGAAATCGACAAGAACAACGGAATTTAATCTCGTCAATGGCTGGAGCAAGTGATGAATATCTTGCGCGCCATATCTCGCAGTGGAATGAGACGGTTTTTCGGCCTAGGGGGGTTTTGATTCGGGTCGATTTGCCCGATCAGTACTTGAGTGACATGGAAGAGATGGATATTCATACCAGTGGCGGATCGGCTCGGTCTGATCAGAAGTCTCGAGATAAGGCTGCGCTCAAGGCGAGAATTGTGATCATCCCTCTGGATGGGCCGACTTCAACGAGGCATTCCTCAAATTGAAGGAATGGAGAAATGAATTCGGGAAGAAAAGGCAAAATTTCAGCTGTCGGAGTAAAGAGTTAGGGATAGTTGGTAGTAATTCCAAAGAGTGTATTCATCAGGATGGAATCATTAATCAAAAGGATTAGCCTTCTCCAATGGGCAGCAAATGGATGCTAGAGATGTCCAAATCATAGAAAATGAAAGATCACAACCCAATTAACATTCAAACCTGGCTCTCGCTATTCTGTCTCTCAATATGGTGAGCAGTTCCGTGCGTCTGCACCGCCATCTCCATCTTCTCATCCACAATCTGGTCACGCTTATCGGCATCTTTGTTACCATACCGGCCAATCTTGTACCACGGCAAAGCAAAGAGATGGTCCATACTCTCCAGCGAGCGACCGGCCGTCTCCGGAATACTGAACCAGACCCAGACCCCACCAATGATGGTGATGGCAGCAAAGCACCAGAAGGTTCCCTTGGGGTCAATCCCCCCCTTTGCGACAGGGAGGAGCATATTGGGAACTGCACGCGCATTTCCATATTGGTTGGCAAAGTGGAGAGTCATAGCCATGGAAGTACAAAGAGCACGGATGCGAAGGGGGAAGAGCTCTGCTGTCAGAAGATACTGCATAGAATTCCAGCCCAGAGCCCATCCAAATCCAGAGATATAGATCATTGCAATGGCACCCTCGCTAGCGCCCTTCTTGCCGGCTGGCACCGTATAGCTCTCGTCGACGCCCATTAGGGGAACGGAGGTCAAGAAGCCGGCGATATAGATCATGGCGATTGCTTGAAAGGTGATGCCAAGAAGAAGGGCGCGCTTGCGTCCAATAACGTCGACTAGGAACAGAGCACAGAGAACTGCGGCAATTAGTTTGATGATTCCGAACACAGCAGTGACCAGTAGAGACTCGTTGTTTCCGGTGACTCCTAGCAACTTGAACAAATCAGGGGCGTAGACAGTGATGCTACCAGCACCGGACCACTGCGAAAGGAGCTGGGCCATTAATGTGAGGTAGACTCGGTAGAGGTTCGATGGGACCAGGAAGGTTTCCTTGATCACGCCGATCGCGCCAGACCCCATTGTAGCTTCCATCTCAGCTGCATGCGTTGTTTGAATAGCGGAAATCTCGCGCATGACATACTCATCGTCGGTGGCTAGGCCACGGATTTTTGCGAGATTGGAAATGGCCTTTTCAAGCTGGCCGCGCTTGACCAGATATCTGGGTGATTCGTGCTGAAGGAAGGAGAGAAGGAAGATTAGGCCGGCAAAGATAACATGCAGACTTGTGGGAACGAGCTGTTTTAGAGTCGGCATTGGTAGTATGAGGGGGTTGAAGGTGGATCGCACATACCCATCGGTTGTGAGTCTTATCACCGAGATTGAGCTCGCATCCATAGTTGGCGAAATATGCAAGCACAATACCCAGGTAGACGAAGCCCGTGAAGATACAGGTACAAAGTCCACGGATAGAAGCGGGGGCCTCCTTTTGTTAGTTCCTGTTCAAATCTGAGATGGATCTCGAGCAACTCACAATTTCAGCAAGATATACAGGAGCAACGACAACTGTCTGACCCACACCGAGTCCAGCAATAAAGCGACCGGCATAGACAGCACCCAAGCTGCCACTATTACCCATGAAAATTGCGATTCCCACGATCCATATAATACAAAGTTGGCGAGTTGCCCAGATACGACCGATGCGATCACAGACTAAGAAGGCACTGTATGAGAAGAGATCAGGTTAGCGACACGAGATCGGGTCTAACCGAGAGATAGAGAGCACGGAAAAACACACAAAAGTGCGCCTCCAACAGATCCAATCTGGACCATTGCGGTGACATTTCCTTTGATGTTGGTCCGTTGTACCTCACTGTACGAGTCATAGTTGATATAGCGTTGAAAGTCTTTAGAGTTGAAAGCGCCTGAGATCAACCCCTCATCGACACCTCGGGCAGCGCCCATCAGGCCAAATGAGATGACTGCAAACCACAATCTCCAGTTGAAGACCTCCTTAGGCTCACCCAGATTTTTGAGGCGGAAGATGTTGACTGGTTTCTTTGCTCCACCGGCCATGGTCAAGGGTGTAATTGAATGCGGAAGATAGTTTCAAAGGTAAAGCTGGGGTAGTAGGCAAAGAGGAAAAGAGTGCAAATGTGAGCCAGAGCAAGCGGTCTTTATATAGTCATGGGATCCCAGCCCATCACATGCGGGGAAATCTAGGGGGCATGAGAGGGACCGGAAATTCCAACCCGAGAAATCCTTTCGGGGCCGATTCATGAAATTCCTGTCGTCAAAATGAGCTGTGGACCAGTGAGATGTGATGCACATGATACAAATGATACACCGGGACAGGTTTAGGCCAAGGCCCAGGGGAATAGTGCCAAGAGAGCTTGCGTCTCGAGTCCCAAGCCCGGTTACCTCTGATGTGACCAAGTTGCCGTCTTGATCTTTCGGGTTTGTTCAAAGGAAGATGGGAGGGAGTCCCAGATCACCATGTGATTACGATTCGGAATCAAATAAGTAGCCTTTCGAGCACTGCATGGTCGCTGTCGCTTTACCTTTTTTTGTTCGTATCATCGTATCATTCAGATGTAACCTTTTACTCCAAACGAGTGCCAAGGTCATCAATTCCTCCAAACCTTGATGGCGAGTTTCGGACAACGTCCGAAGGGAAATGTGTTTGTACTGCATATGGCTTAGTCAACTGGGGAAGATAGTAGCCTCCATCGCGGGGAAAACTGGAGAAACCTTGGAAGCTCCATCCATGACTGATATAAAGCCGTTGATTGGTTTCCACACACACTATGTTTCTTGGCGTGGGGTGTGCTTGAACATGTTCAGCCTCTATTTCTCTCTGTGCAATTTTTACTCCCGGTGAGGTAGATGTCCCTCCGGCTTCTGTGATTTCCAAGGTTCCTGGGAGATAGAGTTGTTAATCTCTGCAATTCCCGATCTTAGGAAGTAAGACTCATGTAGCTCTAGAACATTTGGTCCGTTATTCGGCGTTGACTGTCGCATGTCATCTTAGTCCTTGCATCCGAGGAGCTCGGCCGAAGACAAGACTGGACACTAGACGCAGCCTCGAAACAACCCATTTTTTGGAACCACGAGCACATTTCGAAGTCACTAATCTCCGTGCTACATAGCGTGGCACTTGAAGAAAATTGCTGTGACTTCAGAGAGGGGCATCGTGACATCAGGGTTTTCATATTTCGGCGTGTGATAAACCCAAGGGAGGCTATAGGATGACTGATGTCTTTTCCCGAGAACTGGCAGTTTACAAAAAGATACTATGAATCAGTTGGATGTTCAAGGCTAGCATGGTGGCGCGGAGATCTGAGTTCAGGACATCGGAAGAGAGAATACAAGAGAAAAGTGATTGGTGGAGCTACGCCGATAGAGCATGGCTAAGGTCGCCAGCGAAATCCAGGATTGCGCCAGTCCAGATCCTGAATCTGTTGCTGGGAAAGTCCCGCCAAGGCGCTGTGAACGTCGACGCGCGCACGGCGCCGATTGTCCCATGTAATATAAGCCCATAGGCCGGCCCCAAGAAGTAAAGTGACGCTCGAAGTTGCCAAGTTGAGCCCATTACCAATCGGATAGTTGGGCCCATCAAAAGGTAAAAATGACCAAGTGCTGATAAGCCCACCGATGTTTCCAAACATCACCATGGTTCCAATGGCCGAAGATCTTGCGGTATCGGAGATGACATTCGCCGATGCGCTTGCAGTACACAAGGCGCCAAAGGAAAAGGCCCCGGAGGCAATAAAAAAGGTGGCCCCGTATCTTAACATACTGTCTTCGCTAGCTAGGAACATGACATAACCTGGAGAATTCCGCGTGATTAGCCTGGAACCAGAAATTCCTTGTAGTGCTCATATGTTGGATGTTGACCAAGGAGTTCTGACTTACCAGTCATCATAAGCGGCGGGCTGATGATGAAGAATATAAGGCGATGGTCAAATCGCCAACTGAGATAGGGGAATAGCAAAGTGAAAAATGCACCAATAACATACGGAGGCACAGTGTGCAGTTGTTGAGACACTGCACTGCCATTAGGGTAGATGGTTTTGACAATGGTAGGCGCAAAGAATCCTAGACCCTGAACGGTAATGTTATCTAACATGAAAATCATCCCGGTCACGAGCGTAACTGGGCTGAAGACGCCGCGCAGTGTCTTGGCTACATCAAGCTTGTCAAGAACCTCTGTCGCGCCAACACGTTCCAATTTGACACGGGCAATGGCCAAATCCTTCTCTTCCTGGGAGAGCCATTTGGCTGTCTCAGGTCGGTCAGTCAATGTCAAGAATGCGATGAGACCGATTCCAATAGTGATGATGCCCTCAATCGCGAAGATCATACGCCAGCTACGGAGAGAACCGAAATGATCAAGCTTGAGAATGCCTGAGGCCAGAAGGCCACCGAACGCTCCAGCGAGGGGAGCCATGACGATATACAAAGACAGGCGGAAGGCAAGCTCACCTCGTCGATACCAACGTGAGAGATAGTATGCAATCCCAGGCATGAGTCCTGCCTCGAACGCACTGGAGTAGCGTCGTCAGCGTTGTCCAGTTTGCAAACTTTAGAAGGCATACCCCAAAAGAAAGCGCACACCAGATGCGCTTGCCATATCATTCACAAAAGCTGTGGCGACCGAACAGATACCAAATCCCAATGTTATTACTGGAAGCCACCATCCAGGCCCGACAAATTTGCACATGAGGTTGCTAGGGATTTCAAAAATAATGTATGCGATAAAGAAGATCGAGAGCACGGCGTTGTAATCATGGCCTACGAGGCCAAGGTCCTCATCGAATCCGGCCAGTTTAGCGTTGCCTATCAGCAAAGAAGAAGATAAGTGCCTGAGCTGGAAACAACAATGCGGAAGTGAGAAGAGAGGATGGTCACACACCAACATTGGCTCGATCGATGAAGCACGAGAGATACATGATTGCAACAGTTGGGACAATATAAAGATCAATCTTGAGTCGTAATCGTGACTCGGCGGCCTTGTCAAATTCTACCAGGGGCTGGCCATGTTCATTTTGTCACGAGTTGACCCCTTTCAGCTGCTTCCTGGGTGACTTTTCCCATCATATGCTTTTTTTGGGGTCTGGAATGACCTTCTCATCACCGATGTGCGTGGTGCCTCTCTCAACATCGGTCATGTTAGAGCACCGGACAGCAAATTGAGCTTTAAAGGGATAAGGGGGCGGTCTGGAGCTATCAGAAAAAGGGATCAAGGGAGACCTCGGGAGCATGGACCAGGGGCCACCGGGTCTTTTTAGTTCAAGAAGGGCTCTTCGGAATGCCTCAGCAGTCGGAAATGACAGTGGGAGAGCCAGATGTTATTAGAAAGATCTCATCATTTTCTTAACAACCCAAGGTGTCAGACCTTTAAAATCTAGCGGCAGATTGACGATTGGGACTTCCCCAGAAGGATTTGGGGGTTTCCCCAGACTTGTGGATTCTCCCCGGACTGGCTCTTTGGTTGTGTGGGGGATCTCCGGATGAATAACAACATCCTCAGTACAGCCTTGGCTCTCTGTACAATAACTGCTGGCTCTCCCATCCGATTATCTCTGGTTGCCATGCCGACTGACCATAACTACGGAATCTGTTAGGCGTTGAAGTTCTCCAAAACGCCAGGTCTAGAAACTTGGCTTAGAGCACGGGCGAGGTAAGTCAAATAAGTCGATTGGAAGTTGTCCCGAAGTTGCCCGAAAGCTACTCTCAGCAGACTTTTTGAAGCTATTGTTAGGTGTGCTTGTAGTAATTCGTGGATGACATCTTGACACGAGTCTGTGTTGAGACTTTGATGCCTTAGTTTATAAAGCGTGAATTCAGGTGATATTACGGTGCAAACTCCAAAACTTTGGTCTTTAAGATGCTAGGAACTCGTCTTAACTTATACGAGGTGAGTGAATGGATTCGATCTCCGATGTGCGCAGCGGTGAGATATGTTGTAAATGGAACGCAAGGCCGTAGAGATTGATGATGACACACCATCACGTGACTCGGATATAGACGGGCGATTTTCTCGGATTAAATGGATGAACCACGCTGATGGGAGTTCTGTGAGATTGCAGACGTATTTATCCATGTCTGAGGCCTCGGATAAAGCTCAACCGGGTTGGCGAATCGCTCGCGCTTGCCAGGAATGCCGCAAACGTAAAATAAAATGCAATGGCCTGACCCCGTGAGACTCTTCAGTTTATGATCGGAAAGTGAATGCATGGAGCTAATACAGCATCAGGTGCAAAACTTGCCAATTGCGCAATACACCTTGTGTATACAGAGATTACATTCGTCATCGCCGAAAGAAACATGAGTACGGGGAAGTCGGCGAGAGGAGTTTACCTCGTCAGGGGTCCCCGAGTGGAGTTCCACCATTGGGGCAGCGCACAGCCTCTGCCATGAATGACTTCCCAAATAGTGTTTCTGCAACACATACGGCATCACCGTCATGCCGGATGCAACTATACTATGGTCCCACATCTTATTTCTCTCTCATGCAGCATATCTACCAAGATCTCATCTCCAATCCTACCTCCCGACCTGAACCCTCTGGCGGGGTTGAGGAAGCTGGAGCTGGCTTGGACTTGTTTAGCTTCCGACGCATCTTTTTCGGAACCCCAGACTGTCATGAGAAAAAAAAGTCTCTCGGGAAAGGGGACTTGCCTATGATGTTCCTGCCGTACGACCTGGCTAAGCTTTTTCTGTCGCGATATTTATCCAGCCTTTATCATCTGATCCCACTTCGCCCCAAGTTCTATTATGAGCAATGTCTACACAGACTATACAACTCTTCGCCCGCAGATTGTCTAGATACTCCCACACAATCGATCATTCTACTTGCCATGGCAAGCGCGGCACTTGGTACGGATCATTCTGCCTGGGGCGATGTGCTGTTCGAGCGTGTGAAGGCTTCGTTGACTGCGTTTGATGACGTGGTGAACCTTCAGACCATTCAAATTTCTTTGCTTATGATAAGTCGTTATTGTTCTACCTTTTTGCATGCAGACTGACATTTTCGGATTTTACGCCAATTACCAGAACGAACAAGGTAGGCCCAATTCAGTGTTCTTGCACTTGGGTTCTGCTTCTCGCAAAGCCCTATCAGCAGGCCTGCATAAGGATGTTCCCCATGATGTTGATCAGACCCCCGAAAATATTGAAGAACGACGGGTAACCTTCTGGTCTCTTTACATCTACGAAACGTACATTACCACTTTCAGCCCAATGTGATAATCTCACTAACCTCATACATAGCTGGTTCTGCTTTCATGTGGGACGTCCTAGCTCTCTCAACCTTAAAGATGTCGCAATCGAGTATCCGCAGGATCCATTCATTCGATTGCTGGCGCAACTTTGCAAAACTATCACTCGGTCTGTTAATGAGATATATGGTCAGCGACATGAGTCTCTTCTGCACATGTGGAGAGTCGCTCGCTCCATTGCGAATGACATCCGTGGTCACGAAGCACATTTAAGAGAAGCTTTTGGCCTTGGGCTTGATGACAGCGTCCAGGCGGGTTCCCTTGGGGTTCGACAAATAATTTTCATTACCCGTAAGTCAACAATTGAGACATTGCCTTGTCCCACTCTGATCAGAGCTAGTATACAACCATACTCTACTTCTTACATTTCGCCCTTTCTTGATATTTCGCGGCCATTGGCAACGCGAGAGGAACATCACACTCAACCAGTCTAGCACCAATGTCACAAACCGCCCCAGAGAAACGCCTTCATGGCTCAATGAAGCCTGCAATCATGCCATAACTGCCGCCCAAAAGACACTCCATCACTTATGTGAAGCTTCCAGAGTAAACGATCTTGTTCTCGTAAATGGACCACATGTTGACATTCAACCACCTACTAACAAAATCGTAGGAACTGCGGTACCATGGTTATTTTTTCGGCAATTCTGTGTTTACTCTCATCTACGAGTTTATCCACAACCCTCATGTCGCATCTCTCTATCTGCCATGGGTTTATGCTTCATTGCAAACCTTGTCAAACATGCAACCTGGGGACCCGATCGCAAGCACAATTTCAGCAATGCAGACTGTGCTTCGCAAAATTAATCCATCATACGAATGGGTGCCTTTATTAGCAACAACTGGGGATAAGATTGCGCCCCCAGGAGGGACATCGACACAGCATGGCCTTTTCCCCTACCACAGGCATCAATCACTGCTCAACGACCATGCAATTCTTCAGAACCAGTCACCAGGGAGGCGTCCTGGTATAATGACATATCCTTGGAACCTTCCACAGGTGGAAAAACTGGAAAACCCTGAAACCGGCGGCTCTGCGGGCTCTGGGGATGACTTGCTTGATTTCACTCAGTCTGACATGGGCTGGAATTTCGATTTTTCTACCATGGACCTGGACGCATTCTTTTCGGTTTATCAGTCGAACCACGCCCCGGTAATCTAATTAGGGCTTTGCACCAACTAAGTTTACAATATACAATACAACACCTTCAAATCGTCTCAATATCGTCTCTGTTAAGGGGCCGTCTACCGGCTTAATCCGTGGAAATGAATCTATATCCGAAGGTGGATCCAATCGAAGCTCTGGAACGAAAAGATACAAACTCCCAGCGAATAAACGATCGATGTGGACCAAGTGGGTCTCCAGTATATCCGAGTACATATTTCCGCCCAGCTCGCCCCAGTGATGTCCTCGCTAACGCGATATTATTTGCAGTTATTTGACCTTTTTGAAGACTAGTACCCTGTCTATGAATACCGCCGTGACGATTAATTTGAGATGTGATCGATGGGCTATGACCCACTCCCGGAAATATGGATTTAAAAATATAGATTCGACAACGAGTCCGCAATATAAGAGCTGTTCTGCCCCTCGACCATGGTATTTGCATCCAGGCTCAATTGAACTAGTACGACCGCCAGTAGTCGTTCTTTTTCATTCCAGGAACATACGCCTCCGTCATGGAGACTCCATCATCCGGCACAGCAACCCCGGTCGATTTGGAACTTGGCGATGACCAGATTCGCAAACGACTGACAGTCACCTTCCGCAATCTGAACGTTAGAGTTACGGCACCAGATGCTGCTTTGGGAAGCACTCTGTGGTCAGAGGTGGACCCGCGACAGGTTGGGGCCCTGCTGAAGCGCGGCAACCGTCCGAAGAGGGTGGGCATATTCAACCATCAAAATGCACTTATCATATATTAATTGAGCTTCTAGACGATCCTCAAAGATGTTGCAGGTCAGGTTAGGCCAGGAGAAATGGTAAGCCCTCATCAATCGAGACCAGGAATGTTGTAACTGATTAAAACAGCTTCTTGTGCTTGGACGCCCAGGCTCCGGGTGCACTTCCCTTCTGCGAGTCCTTTCCAATGATCGAGATAGCTTCGATGAAGTTACCGGCGAAACTAACTACGGAAGCATGGATTATGAAGCTGCCAAATGTTTCCGTCAGCAGATTATGTTCAACAACGAAGGCATGTAATCTTACGTTGGGATCTTTTGAGCTCAATGCTAACTGCACTGACATCAGACGACGTTCACTTTCCAACCCTTACTGTCAACCGTACAATGAAATTTGCCCTTCGAAACAAGGTCCCCAACGAGCGCCCAGAGCATCTAAACAACCGCAAGGACTTCGTACAGAACCATCGTGATGAGATTCTGTCCTCGCTTGGAATCGGACACACGAAGAAGACCATGGTAGGAAACGAGTACATCCGAGGCGTTTCAGGCGGCGAACGTAAGCGCGTTTCTCTTGCTGAGGTCCTAGCCGGACAAAGTCCAGTTCAAATGTGGGACAATCCCACTCGCGGCTTAGACTCGAAATCAGCGGTAGAGTTCGCTCGAATGCTCAGACGTGAAGCGAATCGAAACGATAAGACAATCATTTTTACAACATACCAAGCCGGCAACGGTATTTACGATCAATTCGACAAGGTCCTTGTCCTGGCTGAAGGTCGTGTCACTTACTACGGCCCTCGTGATATTGCAAGGAATTATTTCGAAGACCTTGGATTCATCTGCCCGAAGGGTGCAAATGTTGCAGATTTCCTGACTTCAGTTACTGTCCTCACCGAACGTACGGTACGAACCGGCTGGGAAGAGAAGGTGCCCAATACACCCGAGGACTTTGAAGCCTGCTATCAAAATAGTCCCATTTGCAAAGATCAAATTAATTCCATCGTGGACCCTGAGAAGTTGAGCTACGAAGCAGAAGACCTTACGCTGGCAGTATCCAGTGAGAAGCGTAAACAGCATATTCCTCGGAACAGGAGTGTTTATACAGCCAATCTTTGGGATCAGATTGCCGCTTGTGCTCTGCGCCAGTTTCAGGTCATTTGGGGTGATAAACTCTCCCTGTTCGTGAAGGTTGCATCAGCTTTAGTCCAGGCACTAGTATGTGGAAGTTTGTTCTACAACCTGTCAGAGGTAATCAAGAAGCCTGCCATCCGACTTAATTAAAGAAGACGAAGCTGACAGTTGATACTACCAGGATTCGAGCTCGATGTTCTTACGCCCTGGTGTCTGCTTTTTCCCGGTGTTATACTTCCTCCTTGAAAGCCTGTCTGAGACAACTGCATCTTTCATGGGTCGGCCAATTCTTTCTCGTCAGAAGCGGTTTGGATTTTACCGCCCTACGGCCTTCGCGATTGCCAACGCTATCACTGATGTCCCGGTTGTGATGTTGCAGGTGACCTGCTTCTCGATCATCATTTACTTCATGGCTGCTCTTCAAATGAACGCAGGAAAGTTCTTCACCTTTTGGATCATCGTTATTGCGCAAACGTTGTGTTTCGTGCAACTTTTCCGAGCTGTAGGCGCTGTGTGCAAACAGTTTGGAAATGCATCCAAAATATCCGGTTTGCTATCCACCGTCTTTTTCGTCTATGGAGGTAAGTATTTGAAGATGATCATCGATCCGAAGATTTTCAGACTGACAGGTTTCAGGATATATTATTCCCTTCCACAAGATGCATGTTTGGTTCCGTTGGATCTTTTACCTCAACCCGGGAGCGTATGCATTCGAAGCACTCATGGCCAATGAGTTTGTTGGACGCAAGTTCACTTGCATCGAACCTGACTACATCCCATACGGCACTGGTTACCCCAGCTCAGCGTCTGCCCACCGTGGATGCTCAATCGTTGGAAGTGATGATGATGGCATTATTGATGGGGCAAAGTACATTAAAGAGCAATTCAGTTATTCAGTCCATCATATTTGGAGAAGCTTTGGGATTCTCATTGGATTTTGGATTTTTTTCATTTGTCTGACTTCTTTCGGGCTTGAGCTTCGGAATGGCCAAAAGGGTTCATCTGTTCTGCTTTACAAGCGTGGCAGCAAGAAGACACGTGGAACGGAAGATGCAAAGTCTCAGTCTTCAAAGCAGGCAGACGCTGGTGCACTGTTGGGCTCGGTCAAGCAATCGACTTTTACCTGGAAAGACCTCGACTACCATGTGCCTTTCCACGGTGAGAAGAAACAGCTCCTAAACAAAGTGTTTGGATTTGTCCAACCTGGAAACCTGGTTGCCCTGATGGGAGCTTCTGGAGCCGGAAAAACAACGTTATTGGACGTGCTTGCCCAGCGCAAAGATAGCGGAGAGATTTTTGGGTCAGTTTTAATTGACGGCCGCCCAATTGGAATGAGTTTTCAGCGCACCACCGGTTACTGCGAGCAGATGGATGTGCATCTCGAGACAGCCACTGTCAAGGAGGCATTGGAATTTTCGGCCGATCTTCGTCAGCCATCGACGGTTCCCCATGGAGAAAAGCTTGCGTACGTCGAGCACATCATCGATCTTTTGGAGCTGGGTGATATCAGCGAAGCACTTATCGGAGGTATGCTTGGTTGGTGTTTTGCCACTGGATAGCGAAACTAACCACTCACAGTCCCTGGAGCTGGACTCAGTATTGAACAGCGCAAACGCGTGACCCTGGGTGTTGAGCTTGTTGCTAAACCTACCTTGTTGTTCTTGGATGAGCCGACCTCAGGTCTTGATGGGCAAAGTGCGTTCAACATTGTGCGTTTCCTCCGCAAACTGGTCGATGGTGGCCAAGCTGTGTTGGTGAGTTCATAACAAGAGACAATCTATTTGGATCGTACTGATTTGTTAGTGTACAATTCATCAACCCTCCGCGGTGCTATTCGACGCCTTTGACGGTCTTCTCTTGCTAGCCAAGGGCGGAAAAATGACATATTTTGGAGAAAGTGAGTTTTAACTCGAGCCACTTGATCGAGGTCAAGCAACTAAAAAGCGGTCTTTAATTACAGCTGGCAAGGACTCGACCAAAATCTTGGACTACTTCACTCGAAACGGGGCGCCGTGTCCTCCGGATGCCAACCCAGCAGAACACATCATTGATGTTGTTCAAGGGGGTGGCACTACAGACACAAAGGATTGGGTCGAAATTTGGAACCAGTCAGAAGAGCGCAAACAAGCACTCTCTAAACTTGATGCACTCAACGAATCTAGCAAAGATGACTCCCACCATGTTGAAGATACCGCGGACTTTGCGACGTCGTACTGGTTCCAGTTCAAGACGGTTTCTAAGCGGCTCAGTATTCACATCTGGCGTTCACCGGTACGTCATTACCACGATATACAAAATCTGTTTGCAAAAGTTGACGTTCGCCTAGGATTACATGTGGAACAAGATCATCCTCCATGTTTTCGCAGCACTTTTCAGTGGTTTCACCTTCTGGAAGATCGGAAACGGCAGTTTTGACCTTCAGTTGAGACTGTTTGCGATTTTCAACTTCATCTTCGTCGCCCCTGGCTGTATTAACCAGATGCAGCCGTTTTTCTTGCATAGTCGTGATATATTTGAAACCCGAGAGAAAAAGGTGAGTGCGCCGATGGAATTCTACTGACATAGAAGTATCGCTAAGACTGGCTTCTGTTTAGTCCAAAACCTATCACTGGAGCGCATTCATTGGAGCGCAGACTCTGACGGAGATTCCATACCTTATTATTTGCGCCACACTCTACTTTGCATGCTGGTACTTCACAGCAGGACTTCCGGTGGAGGCCAGTGTTTCCGGGCATGTCTATCTTCAGATGATTTGTGAGTGACATCACGCCTTTGCGGATTGATTCGGGGGTCTAACAAAAAGACAGTCTATGAACTCCTATATACTTCCATCGGCCAGGCCATTGCGGCATATGCGCCGAACGAGTATTTTGCGGCTGTGATGAACCCCGTCTTGATTGGTGCCGGCCTGATCAGTTTCTGTGGCGTGGTGGTTCCTTACTCCCTCATGCAGCCTTTTTGGCGATACTGGATTTATTACCTGGACCCCTTCAACTACTTGGTTGGTGGGCTGCTTGGTGAAGTGATCTGGGATGTCAAGGTCAAGTGTACACCCTCGGAATTTGTGCAGTTCACCGCGCCGTCTGGTCAGACCTGCGGCCAATACATGGCCGATTTCCTCGCCACGCAGGCTGGATACTTAGCTGATGGGAACTCTACTGGGACCTGTTCATTCTGTCCGTATTCCGAAGGTTCCGATTACGCGAAAACCTTCAATCTCCGAGAGAAATACTATTCGTGGAGAGATGTGGGTATATCCTGGTTGATCTGGCCTAGTTGCATTGCTAATTTTTTTTTCTTTTAGACGGGTATCACTGCCTTGTTCTGCATCTCCTCATACGCCTTGGTTTTCTTCATGATGAAGCTCAGGAGCAAGAAGACGAAGAGTGCTCGTTCTGAATGAGCGATCGCAATCAAGCCGATGATCGGGCCTTGGTGAAGTCACCATTGGCATCATTCATAGATATAGAGTGCTCTCAACTTCTGCGGGGCACCATCACAAGAATGCGGCCCATTTCTTTGCTTTGGATTATTTTCCTTGGCATTTACTACGCTTGTTCTCGCAGCGACAGACACTGTTTTCGGCATCTAACTAGATCGACCATGGGTTCATATTAGAAACCCCCTCCGGTTATTGATAATATTATGAGTTGTTTACTTCGATCCAGGTGCTACTCCCGCTATCCCTAGTCCCAATAGAGTTTGTGTTGTTCCGTTTTTGGATTTGGGCCGAGCCGTTGAGCAGCCCTTGACAGGGAGATCGACGCCCACGTGCACGCAGGAGAAAGTCTATATCATCCGAACCTTTTTAAAAGGTCCCAATAACCCACTGATTCTCTGTATCAACGCCCCTAAAGCCCTTGAAAATGCGATTCGACATTCTTGCAATCTTCCCTCTGGCTGCCAGTGCGGTCAACATCATCTCATCGAATGATGATGGCTGGGCGGAAGCGAATATCCGCGCTCTCTTCGAGTCCCTGGAAGCGGCAGATCATTCAGTTGTGGTATCTGCGCCCGCTGAGAATCAGAGCGGAAAGGGTATGTTATGCTTGCTCTTCTCAATTCCACTCTTAAGTTGACGCGTGTCACAGGATCAAAGGAAGGAGAGCCGACTGTCTTGACTGAGGCATGCGAGTTCAATAGCTGCCCGTCTGGTAGCCCTGCTGTGGGCTTTAATGCCTCCACGGTCAGTAACGTACCCGGTGTTTTCCCAACGGCAGACTGATTGTATGACTAGCCCCGACTGGGGTATGTCAATAGCTACCCAGTGACTTCCATTCAATACGGCATCGATACGCGCGGCCCGGAATTCTTCGACGGCCCTCCAGACCTGGCCGTCACAGGTCCCAATGTCGGCAGTAACATTGGCCTCACAGCGTTCATCTCCGGAACCGTGGGCGCCGCCACTTACGCTGCGAAGAATGGCATTCCTGCGATCGCCTTCTCAGGTGCGAGTGGCTCCCCCACTTCCTGGGATAGCGAGCGGCCCCACTACAGTGATGTTTATGCCGACTTGGCCACCAACTTGACAAACCAGGTCATTGCGGCTGGCAAGCCCTACCTACCCGAGGATATTTGGCTGAACGTCAATTTCGGACGGGTTACTGACGAATGTGCAAATGCGGCCGATTTCTCTTTCGTTCTCTCCCGCATCAATGTTCCAGTTCCACTTGTGTCCGGCGATGACGTGAGCACGTGCGGCCGTTCCAGATTGCCAAACGAATTAGAAGTGTCGCTAGCGTCTGGGTGCTATGCAAGTGTCTCAGTTGGGGCTGCAGCCTCGAAGAGGGATGCCGACGCGGAGACCCAGGGGGCTGTTTTGAAGAAGCTTAGCAATTTGCTGACTTGTCTACCGTGATTGGTGTAAAAAAGAGGACGAACGTGCGGTGCGGGAGACCAGGCCAATTAGCCCCAAATTTAAGCTCTGGGAGACCCGAAATTTCACCAAAGAAACGGCTAAATTCATCTTTGACTTCCCCTTTCTTCTGTTCTACTTCCACACCAATAAGACTCTAATTGAGTAATCACCGCGGTATCTCAGAAAACCAAAATGGTGTTCATTCTGCGAGTCTCCAAGTTGCGCAATACAACATAGATTTGGTCTGTCGTGCAGATCACCACGTGTTTTTTCAGTCAGGCCACGTTTGAGATTAAACTAGCGTGCCAGAGAGTACGGAGTACAGGTAAGACAATTGGATATATTAATCTCCACTTCAACTTTAATTTGGTGCAGATAACATGAAAATGTCTCAGTGAGGAGCTTGTTTATCATTCGGAGAAACACATCGAGACGAATCACCGATCGCACGTGTATAGGAATCTGCTAATCTTCAGAGTTTTACACCAAACTCTTCCATCATATGTTCTTTACCGGGACCATTTTCTGTCTTAACCCGAAGGAAGCGGGTCAAGTACGCATGCCGATCGAACAGGATGAATGATTAGAACATAGAAAGTACGGAGTGTCCAGTATAAGTATGCCGAAGTAATCCTGTTTTCTCAAAGAGCTCCATCATACCTGCTTTCCATCTCAATATGATTCCTCAAATTCTTACTGCGCTGACTGCTCTCGCTGTGCTGCCTGTCACAGCCAGCCCGGTAGAGCTGTCGTCTCGCGGAGTGATTGGATCCGACGCGGTTGTCGGACTTCCTCAAGAGGTTCCTGCCGGTGCCGTTGGCAACCGCTACTTGGCCTACCAGCCAAAGCTCAAGGTTGTCAATGGCTGCGTGCCTTTCCCGGCTGTGGACGTACACGGGAACACCAAGTGAGTGAAGACATTTGCCCCGATAGGGGCTTTGACAGACTTTCATATCTAATGCCTGTGATATAGTGCCGGCCTTAAGCCATCAGGAAGTTCCAACGGTGGATGCAGCAGTAGCACCGGCCAAGTATACGGTGAGTTTTCGTTCGAAGAACATCCACTGAACCGTCCGGGACATGGGGACTAATGACTTGTGGTTTGCAATCCATAGTGAGAAGCGGCACTTCCGGAGGCAAGAATGCCCTGATGTACTCCTGGTATTTCCCCAAGGATGAGCCTTCTCCTGGAATCGGCCACCGTCACGATTGGGAGGGTGTGATCATCTGGCTTTCGGACGCCACCAGCACTGCTGCCTCCAGCGTCGTGGCCGTTTGCCCGTCGGCACACGGTGGCTGGGACTGCACTACAGACAAGTTCACACTTGATGGATCCTCGCCTCTGATCAGGTATCAGTCGGAATGGCCTCTGGACCACTCGTGCGGCCTGACAACCGAGGTGGGCGGCACACAGCCGTTGGTTGCCTGGGAGTCAATGAATGGTAAGTGACCCAGATCCTACCCCCAAGGCCTTGAAGCTAGCAATCTAACCTGGAACGTGCAGCTGCCGAGCAAAATGCCTTGGACACAACCGACTTTGGAGCTGGAAATGTTCCTTTCAACCAGAACAACTTTGCCAACAACCTGGCCAAGGCCACGTTCTGAGCTTAAGACCAGAAATGCCTCTCACCAGAGGAATGAGGTCAACAAATTGTCGTTCTGGATGGCTTGCTTTTGCCTCCTCTGCATGTAATATTTTTTGGTAGCAAATACAAATAGACTACCGTAATGAGCTTATGGGGGATCACAGTCATTAGATTAATCTTCCTCTAATACACCACGGAAGTACCTCCCCCACCAGGTTTGTGGTGCATCGCCGTAGACCAACGTGAACATCATGCTGCCTGTCAGGCAACCCTTTTGTAATGATGAACACGACTAGACTAGCCCGAAATGCCCGTCCAAACGATTAGCTTGCGAGGTTGTAAAGAGACAATCAAGAAAAGAACAACTGCTACTGCCACTCCTGCTTGAGATTGTCATCCTAACCTGAATACTCAAGGAATTTTAGAAATGCGCCGCTGGGTCCCATGTCTTCGAACTTCCCCTACCGGACTTACCTCGGATATTTTGTATCTTTCGCAGAGAAACAAGCGGAAGGAATCGACTAGGTCTACGTAATCTACTTGCGACATTAAATGGTCCGAGCACTTTTGCCTCCCATGATAGAAATATCTATGGCTCCTACGAACATCCGAAAGCCGCTTGCGCAATGTTGATCGTTTTCATAAACCAGGGTGTCTTATACGGCCTCTTCACTGTGAGAATCCCGGGCCGCCTAGGCCATAGTGATGAAAGTAACCATCTGGAATGAAGAGATTACCTCAATTTCCGGACCATGGTGTACAGTGAAGAGGACAGTAGTCTTCACCCGAGATATTCGTCAGATTTAGGGATGGGGGCTGGGGCACACAGCCCTCGAGTGATGACGTGTTCACGCATGAAGATGGTCCGTGATGAGACTGGATTATTACGATCTCAAAATTGTGATTGTGATATTTTTAGTCCAATTAACAGAACAGCAGAGGAGAGGAGTGTTCACTTGTATGTCAGAAGTAGACGAGCACATCCGTTTTCTGTTATCCTAGTTTGTGGCCGAAGAGGCAACCGAACCATCCACTGCCTGGCTAGATAAAGAAAAGTATTCAGGGACATAAACGAAGACAGCTTAAGCGTAAAAAGTAAACCCCTAAAGAAATGGCCTACCAACATATCTATATTGCACATCTAGTAAACGTAGCGGAAGTTCAAGTTCTCCCGGTCCGTCTTATCCTCGAATGCATGAATGAGGGTTGGATCTGCGGTACTAAGACCTTCCTCTGCCAGCAGCTTATCCTTTCTGGCGTTCTCGCGCTTGAGATGGAAGCGGAGGTAGATAACGGCGAAAGCCATACAGGCATAGCATGCGAGGTGAACACTCCAGGCAATGTGATACCGTGGTGAATCCCTGTCAAGGAACACTTGAGGACCTATTTTTTGTTAGCTGGGAACTGGGATTGTCCACTCAGAACCTGAAACACTTACCAATTGCGTTACCAGCAGCCCATGAAACGAATGTTGCAGCGACCACTGTGGACTTCTTGGTTTGACCGGCGATATTTCGTGACACCATCGACAACGTGAGAGTTTGGGCCGACCAAAATGACAGAGTGATGTAGTAACTGATGAGAAGGCCAACCTTGGTGGGCAAGGTAGTGTTTTCGACCGTTATAAGGACAATAGTTCCAACGAACGACCTGCTAAATGTCAGTCTGATCTGGCTACATAATAAGAGAAAAAAAATTGCGTACGGAATGATGAAGCAAAACATCACGATCGTGTTCTGCTTGAACTTGTTCACCAGCCATGCAGAAGACAGTAGCACAACGATAATGTAAAAACCCAGAACCATAGCAAGCAGCTGGGTTTGCAATACAGTAAAGTCAAAGCTCGACACTATGATACCGAAGAATGCGCCTAGGCCGCTGGTTGGGAGAGTGGTGAATATCTGAACAGCACAATAGCACCACATCTGGGGATCACGGAAAGCCTCCCACATCTGGTATGCATGGAATGTTCTGTTCTGAATACCTGTCTGATTGGAACGCAGACGTTCTACCATAAGACGCTTGTCTTCCTCGCTAAAGCACTTTGCGCGCATAGGCGAGTCAGGCATATACCAAACGACGAAGGCTCCCCAAAGAACGGAGATACACCCATAAGTCAGGAAGAGTGCTTGCCACGACTTGAGCACCTTGTCTGATCCAATTAGTGTAAAACAGTATGCCAGTAGGCCACCGACAATCTGTTGTGCACCGTTCATCATGTACCTATGTTGCCATTAGAATAGAGTGAACTCACCGGGAGAGGACTATTCACCCACCAGTATGTTACCGTGGCCGCTTGTTCCTCTCGTTTGTACCACATCGAGGAAAGAGTCACAAAAATGGGCTGACAGCAAGCCTCAAAGATACCCAGGAGGGTACGAACAACCACCAACCCAGTGAAGTTCTTGCAGGCTGCATGAAGTGCCAGAATCATACCCCATAGGCAGATGTTAATGCCCAAGTACTTGCCGAGTGGGACTCTTTGGATGATCCAGTTGGTAGGATATTCGACGACCAGAACAGCGATGTAAATACACGTAGTCAACCAGGAGTACTATCGAAAGAAGTCAATTTAGCATGCTGATGGAGATGAAAGCTCAACGGAGTTGCACACCTTCTGCCCATCATTCAGATTCGCATCGTCCTTAATCCCCATAATCGCCGAGAACGACATAGTTCCCTTGTCCAAGGCCTGTAGGAAATATGTGAAAATCATTACAACGAGGACGCGTCGATCAATTAGGCGTTTGAGGCGCCTATTAGTCGCATCGTCAATTTCCACCTGGCTGTGGGCAGCATATGCTTGGATTTCTTTGTCCACGCGGGTGATGTCCATATTATCCTTCACGAAATCATCGGATGCCGAGAGAACCTGTTCGACATGCGAGATGTCTTGCTTGCTCTCGTACTCTCCCATATCAATTTTCGGGTGCCTTTTATGCACCACCTCGTTTCCCTCGACAGGGGCTGTCTCAATCCCCTGCTGGGGGTGGTCTTTGCCTTCTGACATGCCGAAATGCGAACAGTTTGTGCAAATATGTAGTTCCCCAGTGAGCACAGATGACAGGAAAGCAAGATGTTCCTTCGGACTTTTAATACCCCACGGTTTTGCTGTCAGGGCCGTACAGTATCCCAGATAAAAGTCACCATGACCACATGCAAGGGTTTTAGCCGACTGAAAGAGTCATCTGGATGTCCAATAATCAGGTCGATCGCATTAACCGGAACTCAAATCAAGTCCAATCGAGTTAAACCAAGTCAAGGAGTCACCTCCGCCTCCTTTTCAAGGTTCTTTCCCCGGCTTTCTTGGCAAATGAGGAGACAGCACGCTAGGCGTCTCCCCACGCTGGGGAATCCGGGAATCTACTCTCCCGAGGACCGAGAAATACCTTGCTCATTGCTGTAGGTCTGAATAAAGGTCCTTTGAAGGTATGTTTGTGATTTGCGACTCGGTCGTCTCTCATCCGAATCACGCTTGGCCCCCGCGGGGATGCTTCGTGGCGTTTGAATCAACGGCTCATTAGTGGAAGATGTCGGAAATCATGTTGCAATACAGGTTTAAGCAGAAAACCCGGAAAATCCTCGGACCGCCAGGCGTGCTCCATACAATATGCGTCGAACTGTCAGAATGAGATATGGCCCACCCTTGGCCCTAAACCGAGTGGTAAATTTGGCTGTAATTTTTCCCACAATAGTCCATCGGTCATCGATATCTTGTTGTCCACCTATATTTTGGTCAGAAGAACTCCCAAGACTTAAAAGCTTTAGGCTTTCCAGACTTGTTATTTTTGTTTCCCAGAGAAACAGTCGGGGAAACCAACATCCAACCTCTCAGTGTCACAAAATGTCGTCCCACAGGCACAAAGCCCTTGAAATTCACAACGCCATCCACCTGTTAATTGAGAACTTAGTCAACATCGAGGACGAGACAGGACGATTCCTGCTACCACTTCCTGATGGGCGCATTATTGATACCAAGTCATGGCATGGTTGGGAATGGACCCACGGCATCGGACTATACGGTGTGTGGAAATACTACGAGCTAACGGGCCAGGAGAGATTATTGAGAATCATCGAGGACTGGTTCGTTGCACGATTTGCTGAAGGTGGCACTACCAAGAACATCAACACCATGGCCGTCTTTTTGACTCTCGCCTGCGTTTATGAGAAGACCGGGAATGTCATCTATCTGCCATGGCTCGATGCATGGGCTGAGTGGGCGATGCACGAACTCCCCCGCACTCGCTATGGTGGCATGCAGCATGTGACATACATCACAGAGAATTACCAGCAACTCTGGGATGACACTTTGATGATGACTGTTATGCCACTCGCCAAGATCGGCAAGCTTCTGAACCGACCCCACTATGTCGAAGAGGCGAAAAAGCAATTCCTTATACACATCAAATATCTTTTCGACAAGAAGACTGGTCTCTGGTTCCACGGCTGGACGTTCGAGGATGGCGGACACAATTTTGCAGATGCGCGTTGGGCTCGTGGCAACAGCTGGGTCACAATCGTCATCCCCGAGATCATCGAGTTGCTCGACCTGCAGCCAAATGACTCCTTTCGTCTTCACCTGATAGAGACTCTTGAGGCACAGTGCGAGGCCCTTCAGCGTCTTCAGTCGTCATCCGGCGCGTGGCACACTCTCCTTGACCACCCCGACTCGTACTTGGAAGCCTCTGCGACCGCTGGATTTGCTTACGGTATCCTCAAGGCCGTTCGAAAACGTTACATCGGTACCCAGTACCGCTCCGTTGCTGAAAAGGCCATCGCCGCGGTACTTGGATACGTCGATGAAAAAGGAGAATTGCAGAACACCAGCTTTGGCACGGGGATGGGTGACTCTCTTGAATTTTACAAGAAGATTCCATTGACCTCAATGCCATACGGCCAGGCTATGGCTATAATGGCTCTTGGCGAAGCGTTGCGTGGTCTCTTGTGAGGCATGCACTTCTCAATGAATAAGTGGTAATGGAATCTAGCATGATTGAATCATAGAGTTGTAAATAGGCGTGTTCCTAGCGAGAATGCAACTACTAAGTAGAACGAAATAACAAGTATTCTGAAATCCGAATCTTTGGCCACTCGACTCGCCAGCGGCCCTGAATCTTCTTGTGCAAGTCAGTTCTTTGCTTCTTCTTTGCTTCTTCTTTGGGCTTTCTGCACAGTTTCCTCCTTGTCCATCGTCGTGAGCTCACCATTTTTGACCACAACCTTTTCATTGACAACAACAGTATCAAAATCTCGACCAGATGTAGCACAAGCAACTGAACTGACTGAGTTAACCAAGGCTGGCTAAAAAATTCCACGAGCATCGATAGGCATGAATACCAATCCTCAGGCTGCCAATCTGGTCATCTAATTCCAGTGCTTTAGTACCATTGATTGCAGCCATCTCTAGCAAGTTTTCTGCTTGAACTGACTTTGGATCCTGCGAGATGCCCTTGTGAATGATAGCGGCGAGTTTGATCTCCCGGAAAAGATCACATGTATTCTTATACGGCGCGCTATCGGTATCCAGGCCAATGTTGAATCCGGCGCTAAGGGCTGTCAAAGGGATTTCTGGTCATGTTCTTAAAGCCAATGCAGTGTACACAGAAAACCCTTGAGAGCATTTACACCGTCAAATTTGATACCGGCAAAAACAACGGAGACGGAGTCTGCTGGTATACGAAAGGATCCACGTTGAGACGCATGATCAGACAAGACTTGAATCTCAAAATCAACTCATTGTCCATAACATGGGGAGACCTCCGAGATTATGATATTGCTAGTAGGGAAATGTGGCACAACTTCGAAGGGAGTTCTTCCAAGTTTGTTCGTATAACCATCCAAGCATTTTATTCAAAACCAGAAATTGTGCTAGAAATTATACCTTCTTCTTCAGCCATTGGGTCTGCGAGTTGCAGTACCCAAGCAGACCAGTAAGGCCCCATTCAACACCTGTGCCGCTCTGTTTGTGGCCACCAAAGGGTGCGTTTGGCGCTACATCAAAGTGGCTATTGACCCACACAATACCGCACTGGAGTTGATTTGCAATCCGAGTTGCACGTTCCAAGTCATTAGTCCAGACAGAAGAGCCTAATCCGGTCTCTGATGCATTCGCACGCTCAAGGACATCGTCCTCATCAGACCATTTCAGGACGGGCAGGATGGGAGCAAACGGCTCCTCCTGTACCACGCGCGAAGTCTCCGGGGGATTATCAATAATGGTCGGGTGGATGAAGTACCCGGAAGAGTTCTCGATCGAGCCTCCAAGTGCAGTTTTCAGGTTTTCAGTCCCAATGCTGCTGAACAGGTCTTTGGCTTTCTCATATTGCATCTGGTTTTGAACAGGTCCTACAAAGGTGTCCGCCTCGGTACCGTCGCCGACTTTCAAATTCTTGACAAATTTGACTAATTTGTCCAAGAACTCATCGTAGATTTTCTCGTGGACATAAAGTCGTTTGATCATCATGCAAATCTGCGAGCTGCAAAGATAAGAAAGAGTGCCAATCTTCGGGACAACAGCATCAATATCAACATCCTCGCAGACGATCGCCGGGTCGTTGCCACCCAGTTCGAGGGTAACTCGCTTGAGAGTCGTAGCACACGCAGCCATAACCCGCTTTCCAGTGGCAGTGGACCCGGTAAAGCTGATCTTCGCAATTCCAGGATGAGCAGTGAATAGCGGGCCGAGGGATTCCTCGCCACTCAGGCATTGGATCACACCAGGAGGAAGGAATTTGGCCGCAAGCTCAACCAGTTTCAAGGCGCAATAAGGTGTGAAAGGGGACGGCTTCAAAATAACGGTGTTTCCAGTGTATACCGCAGGCACCACTTTGCCGACGGCTAATAGGACAGGGAAGTTCCAGGGGACAATAGCGCCCACCACGCCGAGTGGTGTGTGGCGTTGGATAATCTTCCTATCTTCGGTTTCTTCAATGACGGTGTCTTTGATCTCAATGGTGGTTAGACCACGAATCCACGCAATTGCCATGCCCACCTCCACAGATGACTGAGTCAATGGCTTTCCTTGTTCCATTGTGAGGATTTTCGCGAATTCGTCGGCATTGGCCTCAACGGCATCGGCCCAGGCGTGCAGGGGTTTGCGTCGTTCTTCAAATGAGGTCTTGGACCAGCTCTTGAAAGCATCCCGAGCTGCTTTCACGGCTTTGTCAAGATCATCCTGGGTCGAAACAGGTACAGGTGGGTTAGGTTGAGTGTTGGCAGGATTGATCCCATGCCGGGTTTCCGATGTCGTGGTCAATTCATTATTGATCACATTGCGAAATTTCTTTTTCGGCAAAGTTCAGTACTGGGGTCGAGGTAATAGAGCGTTTAGAGACTCACAGAAAATTCGAACGTCTTGGCGTCGGTAGTCATTTTGGGCAGCTTCAACTTTCGACACAACGGGATTAGGATTTAGTGGGGGTACAAAAACAACGATTTAAAAAGACCACCTCTCGCACAATCAGGGCTGAAGCGATCGAATTTATTTATACTGCACCCCTCTTCTTCAGGCTAACCCTATAATTCGGCATAGAGACCAGACATCATGTCTTTGCCTTACTGTTCTCTCTGAATGGCAATTCTTTCGACGATCTCTCTTGAGCATTTCCCTTTCTGGTCGTTTCTTGTCTCAAATCTTGCATCTTTGCAGTGTGTGGGGCACCGGGATTCTCCTCAACTCCCCCTCAGATTCCTCGGGATAACACCAAAAGTGAAGAACCTCGGTGAGTTGTCGGCGTAAGCTTTGGGCATCCGAAGGGCTACGGGATGCGAGCGCGGCAATTGACCCCTTCATGACTTGGGCGCTCAGGAGACAAGCCAAACCCTGCAGGCGGTAAGACGAGCTGATCAAACGTATCTCGCCATGTATGAGCGTAGGGCCAAAGATGCTGGACACAGGCGGTCTTCCAGTCTGTCCGGCATCGATAGGACGATGATAAAAGTCGCCGCAGGCTTGTTAGCGACTAGGCGCCGAGCCTTGGAATCCAAGCACCTCGTCATATCAGGGCTGCTTAGTATACATGGAAGCGCATGTGCCTATGCCAGTTTTGAATCTCGGATGGTTTCGCCATGCGTACAACCTATGCTGTACAACAGTCTAAATCAGTGGGATTCACCCACTCATTTTTTCCTGTGGCGTAGGGATCTGCCTAGTTTTCCCTAATAATTCTTAGTCGTTAGTATTGAACCTATGTTTTGTATTATTTCGAAATGGTCGGATTCCTCAAATTGCTCTCTTCTGAATTGTGTTGTAAAAGTCCCTCCTTTTGCAAATTTTTAGTACGCCAGCCAGATCATAGTCTTAAAGATGCTCGAGGGGCCCTGCTACCTGTTAAATTAAGTGCTCAGAGCCCCCTTGTTTGAATGATAATTTTTTGGAGTCTGTATAAAATACTGAATCATATACTACGCTAATTGGGAGCTAAAAAATCTAGGTGGAGGTGGGTGAATCCCACAGGTATACGGAGTAGACTGTTCTATATCAGCAATTTTGATTTCAACAAGGTCCAAAAGCTTAACCTAGGCGAAAATTGGTCGTGGAAACCAATACAGCTTGTAATCGTGGCAAGCTCACACCAACAACCATGTATATACCCGATGTTGGTGGGCCCCAGCGGATAACAAATTCTCACCGAATCATAAAATTGCAAACCCAGGTATCTTTTACAAGGCAACTTCTTACAAACGATACTTTGCACGTAAAGAGTCGTAGCCTCAATCTTCTCAAAACTCAGACTAGCTCAAGTAAAATGATTGAATCAAGATCTTATGTAGGTCGATTCACTCTGTACTACTAAGAATAGTGCTGAATCTCTCATATACAACATGGCGGTGTGAGTTGCTTCTTCAAAGAGCACTATGCCATTTATGAAATGCTGTGTGTAAAAATCTAACCCTTGTTTTACTTAAAAGCATGTAGAGTACTTGAAAATTATTACCAAGATAGATATTGAGTGATTTGGAGTTCAACAATGCCCCATCTGCCTTCTCATCTTCTCCCCAACTAGTCGAAGGGCTGAGAAAATCGAGGTTACGATCATATGGCGTCTAGGTATCTCTGTCTGGAGTTGCCATTTATGTTGTCAAAGCTATTTGAATTTGCAAATGATAACCCGGTGAGAATTTCTCATTCGCTGGGGCCCACCGACTCTGTGTATGTTGTATGTTCGACAAAGGTGTGTAGGTGTGGGCTTGCCGCGATGAATTTTTAGTCAGCTTCAATGTATCCCCTGCCTTCCTCACAAGTCACCGGTTTCCAAGATACGAGCACTTTATCAGGCTCATTGATTGAACTTCAAAATTATCTAAAATGCTCATGGAGGTATTGAAGACATGTCATGTAAAGGATCTCTCCGACCATATGGATCTCAGCGCATATTTTGACCTAGTTGATGTTGAATAAACCCCCTAAACACAGAAACCATGATCACGTCCCTGCTGAAGAAAAGGACTGTTGAGGAATGTGCAACATAGACAAGATCACATCCGGGCAAAATCGCGGTGTTTTTCTTGTGACACTGGCTTTCCTGTTGTGCTTTGCACAAAACCAAGCGTAACATGTAGGCACTTCACATCTTTATCGATGGGTACAGCATCACACGGCTTTGTCACTGACGATGTTCTCTCTACATACAAAATTCTCCTTACCTACGAAGTATAAATTTCTGAATTAAGGACCGATGCCCTAGCCCTGCTCTAGCGACAAGTATCTAAGATTACTCAGGGGAAGTCTGATTTGGTCTCAAAACACCGCAAAGTTGAAGGAATTCACCTCCCTTTTTTTTTAAACCTTGTGAAGCCAGTCATTTTATCTCCTGATTGCATCTTGCGACTAATAGAAAGCGACAACTACCACTTAACCTTAACACAAAGAATGTCGTTCTACACAGGACTTAATTTGCGGCAGCTCGGGATAAGATTTCCAGGCACGAGTGGCTTGCTTATAAAGCCGCACAGGAGTTCCCACCGTCACCAATCACCCCCTACTGGGAGCAGTGCTCCGACTGGCCTGGGTAACTATCGACCCCCCTGAAATTTACGCCTGCCCTTGCTGCCTGCTGCCCCCCCTTCTCAGCCACAATTTAGTCTGTCTATCCACGGAGTACAATGTTTCATACTGGTCGCTGAGTTAATGAAATTTCGATGTCTTTGAAAGAAAAAAATTTTTTTGTCAAGACATCGTTGCAGGATTTTCCGGCTGATTGATTTGTTTTGAATAGACCATACAGGTGCGGCTTATGCAATCCTATTCACAGATATGTGACGAGATACATAAGGATAGTCAGTGATAAATTATTTCAAGGTGGTCATAGTCAATTAGATTTATCACCTTCCGAGTATCACTGCATTCCATTTACCATCAAAGCCTAGATGTTTACTTCATTCGTATTCGACACCATGGACAAGGAAGCTACTTCGGTTCGGACGAACTAAGCCCTTAAGCCGGTACCGTTTCTCGATGCTTCAAACCGACTTAACCTGAAGTAAGCCACATATATCCAGTAACGGTACAGCTGAGAGACTTTATTAAAGTCGGAGGCTGCGGGACACTAAGCTAGCATAGGAAAAGATCGAACGAGATCGAGACGCTACATGTTATTGAAAGGTGTAGTGGCTTACCTCAAATAAAGAACTGTTTCTATATAAGCCCAACCATGCAACATCATGATCAGACCTCTAGTTGAGGTTGTCAATTGTCTATGGGATCTATGTTTTTGTGCACGGACCAATACTCTGTGACATCATCCCGAGTCTCACAACACAACTGTCTGCTTGCGATTCACGTCTCATCTCAAATTCTTGTTAAATTCCCGCCATCATTGCGACGTAGTCCCGAAATATCCCTGGATAACCGGTTGGTCTGCAAGGGCGATCTACCAGTAACAAGCGTTTCTCATTTTGGGCAGTATTTGGTCTTCTGGACTGTGCGAGCTCACTGGACACTCCTCGACAAGATCGACCTTCGGATGACGCGCCGGCTGAGCGCCTCTTCGTCAACCTCTGTTATATTTGATCTTTGAAGGCGACATGTTGCTTGGCATACGTCTTGTTCGATGTCAAACGGAACGTAGGAGCCATCCTTTACGGCTATCTCTGCAACTTCTGAAAAGACCCTGATTTCCATCCAACTGTGCAAATACAGATCAATTCAATTCCTTACATCTTGTACACATTATCTATTCCACATCAAGCTATATACGAGACACACTAATCTGTCACAATGTTTCATCGACATCACCTCGCTACCACAACCACTCGCACCACCAAGCCTACGCTGATGACCAAACTCAAGGGGCGAAACGCAACATCGCGCACCGTCAAAACCACAACGACAACACACGAGAATCCCGTCCATGGCCATCATTATACCGGTCACACTAGCCGAACTGGTCCCACTGGTCGCCGCTCTGGTCATAGGAACGCCTATGGAACACCTACTCATACTCGCCATCGGCGCAAAACCAACCTTGGTGACAAGGTCTCCGGCGCTATGTTGAAGCTGAAAGGAAGTTTGACACATCACCCCGCAGTCAAGGTAAGGACCGAGTGACTCTGGTTCAACTTGGACCCGATCTAATATTCTAAAACTAGGCTGCTGGAACCCGTCGCATGCATGGCACTGATGGACGTGGTAGCCACGCACACCGTGTCTATTGATTGATGCTCTGTATATTATCACGAGCTACGAATGACGATTTGAGCTTTGGGATTTTGTTTTATCAATATTTTTGAGATACTACGATTTACCTGTACCATAAAGGGCCGGATCAAGTCCAATGTTTAGTGTCTCCCAATCGACCCCACGGTTGTAATCTGAACTTTAGGAGTTCATGTCGCTTAATTCTCCATGCAACATAGATTTCAATGAGCCATTGTTCCTTAGTGCTCTCAATTCCGACACAATACTATTGAGCAAGTCCAGTGAGTAATACGAATAGCAATCAAAACGATAGGCGCCAATCCCCCAACCCTGGAAATGCCGGGCCGGTGCGATAACGTGGGTGCCCAGATGCCCCACCAAAGTTTTACAAAAGTGCGGGACTCCCCGATTACTCACTTGGACAGAACAACACTCGTGGATCCCTTTCAGCTGTATGTCTATGCAATGCCGTCCATTCACAAAAGCAAATTGGCCTTTATTGGCGGTGGCAACATGGCTTTCGCCATCGTTGGTGGCCTTTTGAGCAAAGGCGTCAACAAGCAGAATATCTGCGTCTCCGAGCCGTGGGAGGTCAACCGCGAGAAGATGGCCGCTCTAGGAGTGCGCACCACTACCTCCAACGTTGATGCTGGAGGTGATGCCGATTTAGTCATCATTGCAGTCAAACCCCAAGTTACCAAGGGTGTTTGCCAGGAACTCGGTGGTGCCTGGTCCCCGCGCGCCACTTTGCCCGTGGTTGTCAGCATTGCTGCCGGTATTACCCTTGACAGCTTGAAGGAATGGTTGACGACGAGCGATGGTCGTACAGCCCACACTGTTCGCGTTATGCCCAACACACCCGCCCTAGTTGGTGAGGGTGCCTCGGGTGCCTTTGCTAGTACAGATGTCACCCCGGATGAAAAAGAGCTTGTCAATGGTTTGCTCGGAAGTGTTAGCAAGGCTACTGAGTGGGTGGACCGCGAAGAACTTCTCGATGTCGTCACTGGATTGTCTGGTAAGTCTTCTGCGTCAAAAGCCGCGGCATGTCATCAATGCGCATCATTCTAACCCCTGTAGGATCCGGACCTGCCTACTTCTTTGCCATGGTTGAGCACCTGGTTGCAAGTGCAACTGCTCTAGGCCTTCCCGAAGAACAAGCCACTCGGTTGGCTACACAGACATGTCTCGGTGCTGGCAAGATGTTAGTTGAGAGCTCCGACGCCCCTTCTCAGCTGCGTAAGAATGTGACTAGCCCCAATGGTACCACACATGCTGCTCTCCAGACATTTGAGTCTCTCAACTTCAAAGAGATCGTCGACAAGTCTGTTCAGGCTGCCACTGCTCGCTCTGCTGAGCTCGGTGCCAAGCCATAGAAAGGGCCACGCAACAAAAATGACTAGCTGGATTTTTTTAATGATATCCGTGGTAAATCATGCGAATTGAAAGACACAAATTAAAATCCAACGACCCCCTTATTCAGGTGGATTTAGTAGACTCCCAAATGACGGAGGCGCGACTAGACATGGTCCGTGCGTATCGCCTTCCTAAATTTGGAACAGCTTGACAGCAGAGCTTCTCCTTCTCAGTTCACAGGCATACTATGTATGAACAATAATGGTTTCTTTTTGGCCCTGGAAGGTGAGATGTATGATTGTTGCTAAACTCGCTTTACTGCCGCTAACGTTACCAAGGGCGATGACAATTCTGCAGCTTTCGAGAAAACCCTATCCACGCTCTCGACGAAGATCGCCCAGGCCACCACGCGCCTCGAACAGCAACGTCAGTCTTCCCGGCGCATCAAGGCTCTCTGGACGCTCTACTCTACATTTGCCTATCTCTTTTACTCAATCATTCTCGCCCTGGTGCTGGGGTGGGAGAGCTGGGGAATCAAGGAATATGCAGCCATCGCAGGCGGGCCGGTCCTGTACGTCTGTCCTTAATCTGCTCGCTCCCACAACGCTGACATTTGGTTTATGGTTTTCCTAGGATCTATGGTGTGCGCACTCTCAGCTCCACAATTTTCGACTACCGAGTTTCCCGCATCCAACGCCGCCTTGATGACTTCCAGAAACAGCGCGAGGAGACCATCGAAAAGCTCAAAGTCGCAACCAAGTATACCTCCACCCAGCAACTACTAGAGAAGTACGGCAACGAGTCCCCCAAGCCCTCTCCGGGCTCAAAGGAACAAGCCGAGAAAGAAAAGCCAGCCCAACAGCCACAGTATGTGGCTCGCACTGGTCTCCCGCCGCCGCCCACTGCCAATATTCGTCCTCCTCCCTCCGCACCGCAAACCCCGAATGACCTGCCATCCCTTAGTTATCCCTCTCGCCCTCTCGAGTTAACCCAAAGTGCCCCGCAGACCCCACAGCAGCCCCTTTTTCGACCTTCTTTCCCTCCCCAAACACCCACCGATCAAACCAGCTTTGCACCGAACGCATTTCCTCAGAACAGCGAATACATCGAACAACCACATTGGTACGACCGCCTCTTGGATGTTCTGCTTGGAGAAGATGAAACCCAGCCCCGCAACCGGATGGTGATGATGTGCACCGCCTGTCGGCTCGTGAACGGCCAGGCTCCCCCTGGGATCAAAACACCGGAAGAGCTCGGCCGCTGGCGGTGTTGCAGCTGTGGGGCTTGGAATGGCATGGAAAGCGAGACAACAAAGATTCTCAACAATTTGCGCCAAGATGCTGTGCCAGCCGAGGGAACTTGGGAGCCTGTCTCGAAGGCTGACGCGGATACCCAGTCCTCCGAGGGAACGGAAGAAGGTGTGATGGTGGCTTCCAGTGAAGAGGACCAAGTGGACTCTATTGGCTCCGATGCGGAGGACCAGAAGAAAGAGGAACCTAAGGCTGCCCCTGTGCGGCGGTCCAAGCGCGGTGCAAAGGGAAGCAAGGCATAGGAGTGGACCGTCTTTCAATACTGTCTTTTTTTTTTTGGAAATTCGAGCTAGCTACGTTACTCCGATGTTACCAAAGGCAGTTCAAATTCAAGACTTTTAACATTGTACCTAGCTAGGCAAAATCGAACATTTCAAGCCAAAACCATACAGATTATTAAGAGCATGCCAATTTCCCAAGTCATTGGCGGCTTCGAGCTCATGTAGAACCTATCGGGTGCAAGGTCAAGTGCTCAATGACGACATTAGCAACCTTGACCTCAGCCTCTTCGGCGGACGCACAACCCTCCACCAACGCGATCTCAGTCTGATTGACCACCGCCGAGCACCGATACGTAGCCATACCCCCAGACTCAACTCTCTTTCTCTTAAAGACCAAGGTGCCCGCTCCCTTCACCATGTTCTGCGCGGTATTCCGCGGATGGACGACATTAACCCCATCCGCAATGACACGTCGGATGTACCACACCAGACCGATACGCTCAACGAATGCACGACACACATCCAAATTGCCCCCACAGTCGATGAAGATCGCTCCAAGAACACTCTCGACAATATCCGACAGGAACTTATCCGCACGCAGACGGGCGAACAACTCCCACGGATACTGGCTTCCGTGTTCCAGGGCATCGCGGATCTCATCACGGAGACCATGGTGCCGCTCGAGACAGGCTTCCCGGGCGGATTTTACATTAGGACCATGAGAGCGGAGGAATCGCCATAAGTGGATCTGGCCCTGGTGTGGGACAAAGTTGATCTCGCCATTGGCGAACTGTGGGACGTGGGTAGGTTCGTCGGGGGCGCATAGCTCCATGCAAAAGAAGGCGAGGAGGTTTGCGTTGACGACCGAATGTTTGAGCAATGTCATTGGTCCCTGGTCCATTTCTACGGGGTGGGCTGCGATCACTGCCATGACAACCATGTCGAGGACGGCATCGCCGAGAAACTCGAGGCGTTGGTAGGACTGTGTTGATGTGTCGTACTCACAGGATGCGTGGGTTAACGCCTCTGTTAGAAGGGCAGGGTCTTTGAAAGTGTATCCAATCAGACCGGCCAACCGGTGGTGGTTGATTAAACTGCTCGCCCCTTTACTTGGTGGCAGGGTGAGGGGTGAGATTTCAGTCGTGAAAAGATCGATCTCCGGCAAGAAGCGATGGAGACAGGCCTGCGCTTTGCGGATTCCACCGTCTACATAAGCTGCGCCAATGAGGGATTCTACAACATCTGCCAGGACCTTGGTTGATATGCTCCTCTTGGCGGTCGATGCTTCCAATTTGTTCCGTATCAACGGGGCAGCCCATTTGCGCGGGGTGAATCGGCTCGTTAGGATAAAGCAGTCAATGCCTATATCGAGAGCTGCGTGAGCAAGGCGAGTGTTCTGGACAAGCTTGTCACGGCTCTCCGAGAGGTACCCCTCGTGCCAGTTGGTGTTCCGGAAAAAGAGCTGGCAACTAACGGTGAATTTAAGGACAGAGTCACCAAAAAACTCGAATCTTTGATAGTTTGTACTGGCCTGTGCAATGGGCGCACTGATGGCCGTGATGACATGGTCGATGTTTTGAATTCCGACTCCTTTCAAAATGGTGTCGTTCAGCCGATGTGCCACCAAAGATGCCTCTAGTCGGTCCAAAATAGCAGAGATAAAAAGTCCAAAGAGACCCTGTTTTGCTGGAAGCTTGTCGATGACGCAAGCTACAGCAGGTAGGACGTATGACTTCTTTGGCGCGTCTGCCTCTCCATCTTCGGCGACATTCAAGGCTCGTTTCTGAAGGAGATTTCGGCGACGAGGAAGCGATGAGCATTCCACTTCAATAGGCGACGCCTTTGTTACCTGGGACGGAGCAATCCATTTGTTGAACATCCGTGGCTCGCTGAATTTGGACTGATCACGGACAATACCCATAGGCGGGGTGTTTGGGTTCCTCGAGTAGACCTCCAGCGCAGGCTCTTTTCCTTCATACACCGTAAGCCATTCTCCCAGGTATTCGTGCGAAATATCGGGAATGAAGAGGGCCACAAAGTCGCGGTCGTCTCCCCGCTGGCGCGAACTGGGAGCCTGCAAATAGAGAGCTGTGATCCTTCTCATTTGATCCAGTATCTCGGGTGTTGTCTCAAAGGTTGAAATTTGAGGATCAAATTGGAGTTCAAAGGACGTCTCGGAGTCCCAGTAGAGAGGAATGGGGTGTGGCATCGGAGTCAATCTTGGCAAAATTATGCTGATGGCCAGATCTTCATCTACAGACCCATTGCTGCATATCTTCAAGCGTGTTTGGCACAGCTGACCCGAAGCCCAGCCTTGTGCAAGGTCTACATAAGGGTCATACTGCTCCGCAGCTTGCACGATAGATGGAAGAGTTGTCTGGTCTGAAAATCTCAACTCTGGTTTTCGTGTCAGTGGCAAGAGGTTATCGTTAACCAAACCATACGAATGCAAGGCCTTGTAGGCTTGAAATGCAGTCTCTTTCCTGGCTGCTCGTTCTGTCCGCCACCAGGCCTTCCCGTTTGTTCGTCGAACCGTCGGGTGCACTGAATTTGGTAATGTGACCGTGCCCAAAAGCAATCCCACGCTGTTTTCTTGGAAGGAAAACATTGGTCGATTGTCGGAATACTCATCAACAGGTAAGACGGCGCAAAAGTGATGCAAATGCTGCACTGCATCATCCGCTGTCATCAGAGCGCTGCGCAGAAGATGTCAGCATATCTCAAGAGAAGACTTGGATTTTCAATACTTCGTCTTTTCAACCCAGAGTCTTTCTTTCACTCGCTCTTCAGTTGCTTCGATTTCATAAGCTTCCTGGTGCTGTCGCTCATCATCTTGGTACGCTTTAATCATTGCTTTCTCTAGTTCTTGCCATTTGTGAAGACTCAACAACTCATCTTCATCTGAGATCATGACAGCATATGTAGATTCTCTATGACGAGCCCTCCCACGCCGCTGCACAAACGACTTTAGGTTTGCAGGCTTGTTGTAACAAACAACTAAACTGCATGCGCTTATGTCAATGCCTTCTTCGAGAACGTCAGTGGCGACAATGAGATTTTTTCGGCCAGCTCTGAATTCATTGAGAGTATCTCGCTGCATATCCCGATGAAGTAGGTCACCAAGACAGTCCTTGCGATTTTTATCACTCGACCAACCAACATAAGCGGCACACTGGAAACGATCTCTGGTTTTGGGATGAAGTGATAAAATGCGAGCTAACACGCTGACGGTTACTCTTTGTTTGGCGAAGATTAGGCCGGAAAAACCAGGCTTATCCATTTTTTCGAGGAAATTGAGAAGGACTTCAAGCTTGATGGATGCGTGATTAACCTCCTCGGCTGAAACTGGAGCAGGCATTGCAAGCAGCAGTTCTAACAGGTAAATCCTCTCCATTCGGTCCAAATGCGACATCTCACTAGCATCTTGGATTGAGCGTTGTAGTTGGTCGATTGAAGCGCTGATGAAGAAGTCGACAGCCCAGCCTCCCAGCTCTTCATAAATGTGACGACTGCGCGCCTGAAAGTTCTTGAGTTGCTCGCTACAGAAAGTTTTACCTGTTTCAAGGGCCTTCGTCAGCTCCACTGTGTGATTCTTTGACCGTAACGATTCGATCCACGGATCGTCTTGTATGTTATAGGCCCTGCAACAGTCTGCTAGAGACGAAAGCAGTCGGCTTCCAAAGCCATATTGTTCTTCGTCGAATGGTAGATAATTGATACGCTCTAAGTGAGGTCGATGGGTATTTTCCAAGAGCTCAGTGCGATGAATACGTGGAGTTTTGCACAGCGCGTTCAAGTTGTCTTCGATCGTTCTGGCAGAAAATAGTCAGTTGATGGGGAACTTTGTTTACACGTAGTAGATGAACTGACTGAAGCTCATTTTGACTTGAACGGACCACCGGGCTAGCAGTGAGCCCCAAGATCCTGGGCACAGCATTTGGGCCTGACCTCAGCAAGGTAGGATGATAGTGATTTTGCATGATCTTGTTCGCCGGATGGCGTCTGGTGCAATGGTGAGCTGAATTGAAATGCTAGGTTAGTCTAAATTCCGAGATGCCTTCAGATGTGTTATGTACCTACCCTCATCAAAGATAAGAAGTGCAAGTCGGGACATGCGAACAAAACCATGACCCAAAGCATCAGCAAGGACAGCATATGTCGAGACAACAACGCGGACATCCTTGAGAACCTTGTCCCAGACACCCTGCTCAGTCCATCGATCAACATTGTCCAGACCGGTTAAGAGTTTAGTTTTCACAGAGAGGATCTGGCTAGTGATCACTTCATGTTGTTGAAGGCTCAATGCCACAGTCGGTGCAAGAAACCAGAGAAGCTGCGACACATGTGAGCCGGGGATAAAGTAAGGAGATAACAAGTCAATTTACTTTATCGGGAGTATTGCAGGTCTCAAGCTCATGTATAATTCGAAGAATGGCACTGAATTCAAAAAAGTCAGGGAAATGTACCGAGAAACGCGAAATATCACCTCGAAACATGCATGTGAGTCTTTCCACTTCCCGTGTCCATCTAGAAATTGTCAGCATCTTTTGAAGCCTCACTTGGCAAAAGAAAGAAACATGCCGCAACAATGATATTCTCCTTGCGGCTAGCCTCTAACATCTCGAGTTGGTATCCACGAGACCTGTAGGCACTATTACTCAGACCCATAGAATCCATGATGAGAAACGATGTCTCAAATGAGATCTTTATCAACAGGACGCTCAGTGTATTGCAAAATAGAAGAAAAAGGAAGTGAGAAGAGAGGAATCAAGAAATTGCCAGGAAGCTGTTTGTTGGTGGGGGCCGTACGGCATCCCGCAACGGCCATCGCGCAGCTTTGGTCCAATAGCCGTGGCCCGGCCGATTTCCTTATTGGGCGTTGTATACTTCGTTGATCAAGAGTCTTAAAGTCCATACTGAAAACATCACATTGATTCTCTCTCTTTTTTTTTGTTTTTTCTCTCCTTAAAATTTTAACACTTTCCACCTCTATCAACCTCTCACTTTGTCTTCTTTCCATCACTCTTCCCTCGTTCTCTATCAACCAACCTTCCTTCATCTGTTTTTTTCCAATTCGCAGCAGCCATTATTAACCTGTGGTGACCTCTCAAATTCGGAAGCTTCAGAATCTGCTAAAATTCCTTTAAAACAAAACTCCTTTGTCAACCAACATTCGTGCCGGTACCATCTATCTACCCCCGGGCGTGAGAGATGGCGCATCCTTCCACCAGAAATTTTTGATGACTGGCTGAGGTGCTTGTCCCAATAGTGTGAGATGTGCCAAAGATGGATCAGATAGGAGTGGGAGAACAAATGTAGCGACCCAGTTGAATGGAAAGAGGGCGATATCCCTGGATTCCACCCAGGAAAGGTATCGAGCCAGAAACAGTCAGCCTCCCTCTGTGACTAGAAGATCATTGTCTTTAATAAAGTTCCTCTAGTGTTGCATACATCAATGTAATATGTTACAATTAACATTCGACGTTTACACCGGCGCCGACTTGACCAAACTGCGCGGCTTGCTCATATGGCTGCACGTTCTTTAGGCTGCCCTATAGAGTGGATCTGAACCCATAAACCGCCGCCGACAATTGCAACTTGCTAGTCTCAAAGCCCATTTGAGTGCGGGGAGTATTTTGACAACGAAATTTGGAGAACTTCAGAGGTTCTGAAAACAGAGATAGTATGGAGAGAAAGATTATCGATGCTCCATGTTCTTAAGAAAACGTTATGGAAATTCGCTCGGACTTCATTAGACGATAAAAACGTCTTGAGAATAGTCGGACAGTACAAAAACTGAGAACTTGCCCCTCGAAGGGTTGAAAAGTAGATTGAAACACTTCTACAACCCCCCCCCCCCCCAAACGCAAATTGACACGATCACCCTATTTTTATAGAAGAACATAGCGCCAAACATCCTGTGAAGTGACGTGTTTTCCTCGACTGTAATGTTTTCCTCGACTGTAATTCCATGTTGTGTTCAACCTAATTATGAAAGCCCCCAAGTGGTCGTGACTGCTACAGCTCAAGCGATGTGCACGGCAAAATCAAATTTCTTTCATCGCCGAATACACGAAGTTGATCCGATAGCACTTCAGGGCAATGTCGCTACGATTCAGGGCTACCTAGTTCAAAAATAACAAGAGGAAATCCATGAGAAGGATAGTTATAACGATGCGCTAATATAATATCCCTAGTTGTAAGCACTCTTTTCCTCATGGATTCACAACTGCGCTAGGGTGGCTGCCTTGGCACAAGTATGTCATATGTAGAGGTGGCTAAAAGGATTTTTGAGACAACTTTGAACAAAAGGCGCGATGGGTGATGTTATCGTGGAGGCATATGTGCCTGGTCGGATCTTTTGCTCGACGGGGATATCAAGATTACGTGCACACGACTAGTTACGATAAGGAAGACGTGATAAGGCTGCAAAAGGAAAAAAATTGGATTGATAGAGTACAGAGCGAGTATTGCTGGTCATCCTGAGGTCAAATTGCAAGCAACATTAACAGAGAAAGAGTAAACCCAGGTGACAGACAAAATTGAACGTTGCTCAACCGATTAGGGAATCACACTTTGACGTCAAGACCGGCCACAACAATGCGGATAAAGTAATGGTAAAAGCTCCAGTATGTAAATTGCAACTGGCTGGGCTTGATCGCTTGGATTGCAGTGGCAAAACTGGTAAGACCTTCAAAGAAGCTAATTGCGTTGTACACCGCAAACCAATCCTGGTATGAATTCACTGCCCAAACAACCCGGAGCTGATCAGAGAGACCTTCATTTTTCACATTCACACTAGCATATTCCTGGAGCGGAATCTTGAAGCCAGTGCTGATGTTGGATGGCAAACTTGGCAGATAGTGGAGAAGACCGTTGAGCTCGTCATTTGACAGGGTGATCGCATGCTTCAGCTTTGGTTGAAGACCGAGAAGCTGGTGGCGGAAGGCGGCCTCTTCATCAAGTGACAAGGAAAAGATCTCATTGAATTCATTCGGAAGGGCTGGCAACATAAGAATGTTGCTGGTGGTTTTGCCCAACAGGTCGGGCAGGACAGCTGCAAGTTCCTTAGGCAGCCGGGGAAGCACAGCACGAAGACCAGGTATGTGCTTGGCCTGAATGTAAGTGCCAACAAGGCAGGTTGCGACTTCGTTAAGTAAAGGTTGAATGTAGCTTGGCCAAAGTGAGTATAGCCATGACCAAACCAAGGTGCTCGGTGGGTGGGTGCTGCTCGGTAAGCTGCTTCCACAGGTCCGCATACCGTAGGGAGGCTTCGGGCGTCAGAAAGAGGCCCATGTTGACGACAGAAATGTCCTGGCGGAGGGGCAAATTGGTAGGGAGGCCATTCTGGCTGGCGAGGTTGGCAGCCATAACGGTAGATGATGAAATAGGAAGAAATGTGGTTTAGTGCAATGAACAGAGATACAGAGAATAAAATGAGAGGAAAGAAAAAGATCAGAAGGCCGAGCTCAATAAATTGGGTCCCAGAACACATCAGATCAATCGCATCGTCGCGGCGATGTCATTGCATACATGGGTACCTTCCTGACGACGACTGATCTGATCCTGACGCCCGGAGGCTCTGATCAAACGCCAGACACGAGCATTGAATCGATCTCAACACCTGGTTGGTCGGCAAGTCTGATATGGAATTGCTGGCCGCGAGATGGGTCGATGCAGGCCATCCCATGCTAAAAGCCTGGTTAGATAAGATACTTGGCCTTACTAAGCAATAGCCGCAACAGGGATCTCGTGTTATCCCATGAGATAACGCCTGGCGTGCTAGACCGACCAGGTAGACCGCGATCTTTGTAGCTTCCTCTATACGGTGTTGGAGTGCGGTCCAAACTCGTGCTGCAATCTGAAGATGAACCGTTCATTGTAATCTTCCATTCTATCCAGCACTGGATAGTGTGGTCCTGGAACATGAGCTATGCACTGCTTTATGACTCCATCAAACCTCGTTCATTGATAGAGAAGTATGGAAGAAGCGGTGCAGCTGTCTACCCAAGGTATCTGTTTAAGCATGGCTTAGGGATACTGAATTCTTGTCTGACACCAAGTTAGTTAAGGCACGCCGGATAATGTGATGATAGATTTGTCAAATTCACTTCATCAAAGCTGGTATGAGCTTCATGATACGCACATGCATGAATGTACATGTGGTGAGTCTCGCTTGACTGGGAAGTTCCAAGGTTCGCATGAAAGCCAGGAGCCGCTAGTCCATATTAGGCTAGCGTTCCCGAAGCTAGATCACACCGCCCTGCTGACCATGTTAAGATGTTCAAGCCACCACTCCACACTCTAGCTACAGCATCAAAAAGCGGGAAAGGTACTAAGAAGACTACCAAAGCAGCCAAAAGTCAAGATTAGATCTCTAAATTTCTTATCATCCAATGGAAATTTGGTTAGTTGAGAAGTTCCAGACAATTTGTCCGCAGTTTTGTCTCTATTCGTTCGGGCATATCCGAATCTCAAGCAAGTGCTATCGCTAACTTTACTACGGAGGTGTCAACAACACAGGTGCCGCAGGTGCTGGAAATAACCTATAACTGCACAGCAATTAAGTTGATTACGCATACAGATTGCAGCTGTTTGGATTTCATGGACTTCTTCTTGGGATCAGCTCTGGCCTTCAACTGCTCCCAAAGCCAATCGGGCGGATTCACAGACTAAGCCAGCTGCAGCCCCAGCATGCATGGGTCCCCCCTCCAGAACCACACTCTCCGTCGCCGGATAGAATGGAAAAAAAGCAATGAAGATTCTTCCTCAGAATGCGGCGAAATTTCAGACTCCAACACCGTATAGAAGTACTCACCTCTTAATCAGCACCTAGTGCTGTTCCTATGCAAGAGGTAGCAGCAGCACGTGGCATAGAAACCGAGGCTACCAATGAATGGCGTGTTTTTCATAGACGAAAAGTCGTGACCCTGAAGCAGACTTCACAAAGAGTCCAAAAAGCCATGAAGAACGACCTCCTCTCAATACTTGATCTGGTATCTATATCCAATATTCCGTTTTGCGTGTCGTGAAGAGGTCAAGTGGTGTCAGCTGGAATTTTTTTCTTCTTTTCTTTCCTTCCTTGTCCTCATGCATCATAGTTAGGAAGGGTGGTGGTGAATTTGATTCTTTTGTTGTTCTAAATTTCTTTGTTCCTCATATATCATAACCCATCTCATAAGGTATGTAGGGCGCTGAGAGTGTGCTCGTTTACGCTCAGTGAGCAAAAAATGGCAAGGGTTGAGCACTAAAACGATAGCGGAGGAAATCATGTGGATTTAGCCCTGCAGAAAGTGTGTAATTCAAACATTTTCGTATACCCCGAATAATTCGATTTGTCTAGATATAGCTTTTTTTGTCAGCACATCAAATATTAGAGGGTCAAAGGCTGAAATCCAGCGCGCCTCGGCGGATTCCGCCAATGAATCATCGACATCTCCGTGAGGGAATCCCGTTAGGGCTTTCCCCGCACGCCCCGGATTTTCCTCTACGTGGCCAATGATAAAGGGAAGAAACAAAAAGTTGGCGTCATACTTTTGAAAATGATCCTTTAAAGGTAGCATAAGATGGAAACCGGCTCGCAAAACAAAGAAGCTGCCTAATGCGCGACCCGTCATTGGGTCCACAGGGTGTGCCACTTTAAACTGCGGGGGTCTCCGCTTCTACAACAATTTTCTTTCTCTTCACATTCCCCGTTTTCATTGCCATAACAATTTTCAAAATGAGTAAATGTCCTGTTGCGCACACAAAGAGCAATGTTGCTGGAGGTGGTACTCGGTATGGTCCCTAGCTTTCCTGCGATTCTACCTCGGCACACTCCACATACCCCTCTGCATCGCTATGATTCAAAATACTGATTGTATGCTCCAGCAATACTGACTGGTGGCCTAATGCATTGAAGCTGGGGATCCTGCGCCAGCATACTGATGCCACCAACCCTCAAAGCAAGGACTTTGATTATGCCTCTGCGTTTAAGACCCTTGATTACTGGGGCCTCAAGAAGGACCTCCATGCCCTTATGACCGACTCTCAGGAGTTCTGGCCCGCTGACTTTGGTCATTATGGAGGCCTTTTTATCCGAATGGCTTGGCATAGCGCAGGAACATACAGAGTCTTCGATGGACGCGGTGGGGGTGGCCAGGGCCAGCAACGTTTTGCACCATTGAACTCATGGCCCGACAACGTCTCCCTGGGTAAGTTTTACTTGGGAATTGAGAGGCTATTAAAATCCAACTAATTTGGATCTCCATTTTTCAGACAAGGCACGCCGACTACTTTGGCCCATCAAGCAGAAGGCGAGCAACACACACTTGATGTAATCCTAGATTCTTCCAAACTAACTCTGGTAATTAGTACGGCACAAAAATCTCATGGGCAGATCTTCTGCTTTTAACTGGCAACGTTGCCTTGGAATCTATGGGCTTCAAGACATTCGGGTTTGCCGGAGGTCGTCCTGACGTCTGGGAAGCCGATGAGTCGGTGTACTGGGGAAGTGAGAACGTCTGGTTTACTAATGAGGCCCGTTACGAGGCTGAGACCGCAGAAGAGAAGGCTAAACAGAGCGATATTAAGACTCGAGACCTCGAGGACCCACTGGCCGCGGTCGTTATGGGTTTGATTTATGTCAATCCCGAGGGTCCTGATGGAATCCCCGACCCAGTCGCTGCCGCCAGAGATATCCGTATTACATTCGCTCGTATGGCCATGAATGACGAAGAGACTGTCGCCTTGATTGCTGGTGGTCACACCTTTGGAAAAACACACGGTGCTGCCCCCGCCGATAGTGTCGGAAGCGAGCCCGAAGCTGCTGGTATTGAGTCACAGGGCCTGGGATGGCAAAACAAGTACGGCTCTGGAGTAGGACCTCATGCTATTACCAGCGGGTTGGAGGTGACATGGACAAGTACTCCTACCAAGTGGAGTAACAGCTTCTTGGAATATCTATTCAAGTTCGACTGGGAGTTGACCAAGAGTCCCGCTGGTGCGAACCAGTGGGTCGCCAAGAATGCGGAGAACATCATCCCCGATGCCTTTGATTCAAGCAAGAAGCACAGGCCTCAGATGCTGACTACTGATCTCTCTCTGCGTTTTGATCCTGCTTACGAGAAGATCTCCCGTCGATTCCTTGAGCACCCAGATGAGCTTGCCGATGCATTCTCTCGTGCGTGGTTCAAGCTTCTGCACCGTGACATGGGCCCTCGCGCTCGCTGGCTGGGTCCTGAGATTCCTAAGGAGATCTCTCTTTGGGAGGATCATATCCCTGCTCCCACCTACGCTCTGATTGACAATGGCGACATTGTTGCCCTAAAGAACGAGATTCTCGCAACCGGTATCGAGCCCACCAAGTTGATTGCCACTGCCTGGGCATCGGCGTCTACCTTCCGCGGTGGTGACAAGCGTGGAGGCGCCAACGGTGCCCATATCCGTCTCGCCCCCCAGAAGAACTGGGATGTTAACAACCCGGGCCAGTTGAAAGAAGTCCTCGAGTTGTTGGAGAGCATCCAAAGCCGCTTCAATAGTGCCCAAAACGGTGAAAAGCGCGTTTCGGTAGCTGATTTGATTGTGCTTGCTGGATCTGCTGCCCTTGAAAGAGCCGCGGGTATCCCCGTTCCCTTCACCCCTGGCCGCAATGATGCCACCCAGGAGCAAACAGATGTCGAGTCATTTGGCTGGCTCCGGCCCTTCGCCGACGGCTTCCGCAACTACGGCCACTCGACTCGCCGGGTCCGCACCGAGCAGCTCCTCGTCGACAAGGCTCAGCAGCTTACCCTCTCCGCCCCTGAATTGACCGTTCTGGTTGGTGGTTTGCGTTCTCTGAACGCTAACTGGGATGGATCAAACTACGGTGTCTTCACCTCCCGCCCTGGCCAGCTGAGTAACGACTTCTTCGTCAACCTACTCGACATGGACACTGTCTGGAAGCCAACCGGCGATGACAATGAGCAATTTGAAGGGTTTGACCGCAAGACTGGCGCCAAGAAGTGGTCTGCTACCCGTGTTGACCTGATCTTCGGTCACCATGCTGAGCTCCGTGCTCTTTCTGAGCTGTATGGTAGCTCTGATGTCCAGGATAATTTTAAGAGGGACTTTGTTGCTGCCTGGGCTAAGGTCATGAATTTGGACCGTTATGATATTCCCTGTTTCCCTGCGACCGGCCGTTCTCGCCTGTGAAAAAAATTGCTGATAGGTATGTATCACATATGATATTCTCTAGTGTTATTTTAACTGAATCGTGAACCAACTGTGTATCTTCATTATGAGGCATCATTTAAATACTCATTGTAGTGTCGAGAACTCTCCTATCCTTCAAAAGTCACCTCTTCAATTTCTACCCACAGGTAGGGGTGACGAAGTGTAGGGTCGTATAGATC